GCATGACACTCCAGATGGACTGCAGCAAAAACGGAAGGGCTTTGTTTTTCCACCCAGGAGTGAGTGATTGGTTTGTTTTGCATGGTAATTTCAAAGCTGTAGAACCCCATCCATGTCTCTACAACTAGATGATGTCACCACAAGTTCTGTTCCCTCAGGTTAGCTAGACCCTTTCCCACACACTTTTAATTAAATATAATTACATCACTGTCCCCTTCCATCTCCTTCCTTCACCGGCACCCAAGTCTCCCTTCTGCCTCCTTTTATGTCCCCCAACTCTCAAATTGATACTTCCTTTTTATTTTATTATTATTGTTATATATACAAATAAATATCCACAAATTTATAAATACAACCTGCTGAGTCCAATTTGGTGTGTGTGTGTGTGTGGTTTCAGGGATGATCACTTTCTACTGGGGGCTCATTCCTGGGAGAGGCTTGTTCTTCCCCCAGCAGGCATTAGTTACCTGTAGTTCTTTGTCTAGGGGTGGGACCTAGTGAGAATTCCCCATTAGCTTCTCTATTGAGATTGTCATTGTACCAGGCTAGTTTATACAGCCATTTCTAGGAGAGACTTTTCCCAGAAGATCCTAGTACTCTGGCTCCTTTTCTTCTCTTTGCCAATGTTCTCTGATCCATAAATACAGAAGCTCTGCTGTAGATGTCTGGGTTTTCCATGATCCATTGATCTCTGCACTGTGTCCTGTAGTGGTTTTCTATGATGGTCTCCATTTGCTGTAAAGAGAGGCCTCTTTGGTGGGAGGTGGTAGCTACATTTATCTGTGGACATGAGGGTAAAATTTAGAATGCACTTGGACCCTTTTGTTACAAACAGGAAAACTTATGAGGACAGCTGTCTGTAGGCCAAGTCTGGGGGCCAGCTTACAGTCAGCTTTGTTCAGCCTCGGAGATCAAAGCAGATGGTTCCCTTCCATCCAGGAGCCTTAGAGCAATTATGTAAAGTCTGCTTCATCTCACCCAAGCCTGCATTTACTTGTTGAGAGAAATCAGGAAAAGTTAAAAGGTTTCATCTCAAGAGGAAACAGAAGCAGCTATGGCCCGACTCCCAAACCTTAGAGTCACAGCTGGAAATCAGAGGGAGGTAAAATGAGCCATTCACTTTGGGCACCAAATTCATGGGATGTCGAAAAACTGACAGCAACATGATTGCTTTAATGAAACATTAAAAAAAAAATGAATGGGTCCTCTTCCTTGTAGCAGTCGGCCATGTCAAGATGAAGTTAAATATTTCTCCCCGCCACCAGCTATGAGAAGCTCATTGAAGTGGGTGATGCCCGTAAATGTACTTCTAACATCGCACTTTTTATGAGGAGCACAAGGCCTCACAAGTAGCTGCTGATGCTCTGGGTGAAGAGTGGAAGGGTCAGAATCAATGGTGGGATGACAAACAAAGTTTCCCCTTGAAACAAAGCACCTCGATACATGGCAGAGTGCACCTGCTGTTGAGTACAAGGCATTCTTGTTCTAGACCAGTGATTCTCAACCTTCCTAAGGCTGCAACCCTTTAAAGCCGTTCCTCATGTAGTGGTGACTCCCCAACCATGTAAGTTATTTTCACTGCTACTTACAACTGTAAATTTGCTACTGTTATGAATTGTGATGTAAATTCCTGATAAGCAACTACAAAGGGTTCACAGCCCACAGTTGAGAACCAGTGTTATAGACCAAGAGAACTGGAGAAAATGCAAGTCTCTTTCTGAGTGCACTGTGGATGCCAATCTGAGTGCTCTCAGCCTGGTTATTGTAAAAACAGAAGGATATTCCCCAACTGACAGACGCCACTGTGCCTCAACAGTTTGGGGGCCCAAAAGAACAAGCAGAATCTGAAAGCTTTTCATCTCTCTAAAGGAGATGATGTCCATCAGTATGTTGTCAGAAAGCCCTTAAACCAAGAAGCCCAGGATCAAAGCCTCCATGAGTCAGCGCCTTGTTACTCCACATGGCTGGCAACACAAACGCCTACACATTGCTCTGAGGAAACAGTGCTCTAAGGAAAACAAGGAGGCTGCAGAATATGCTAAACTTTTGGATAAAAGAGTGAAGGAAGCCAGCCGGGTAGTGGCGGCGCACGCCTTTAATCCCAGCACTCGGGAGGCAGAGGCAGGCGGATCTCTGTGAGTTCGAGGCCTGGCTGGACGGACAGCCTCCAAAACAATACAGAGAAACCCTGTCTCATAAAACCAAAAAAAAAAAAAAAAAAAAAAAAAAAAACACTAGGAACAGATGACCAAGTGACTCAGGCTGTCCTCGCTGAGAGCTTCCACTTCTAAGCCTGAGTTCAGTCAAAAGTAAGTCACTAAGAGGGACAAATGAATGAACTGGCCTTAAATATAAAAAAAAGAATTAATGGGGGTAGGAAGTTTACAGTAGGTGAGATGGCTCAGTGGACAGAGTCACCAAGCCTGAAAACCTGAGTTCAATCCCTGGTACCCCCTGGTGGGATGAGAGAGCCTGCTCTGGCAAGTTGTCCACTGACTTAACGTTTTTTTAAAGTCAGTTTTAAATAAGGCACGATACGTGGGCATTCATTTTAAGTGAAGACAGGCTAGACAGTGCTGACATTTTTCATTTTGTCTCAGGCACCACTAAGTCCTGGCAGCTATTCATCAGAACTTATCGTCCCAGAATTCCTGGGGCAACCATGAACCCATTTTAGTAACCTTTCCAGATGATTTTTGCATATGATCAAGTTTAAGAGTTACTAAAGAAGACGGGCACTGATGATGTTTCTCTTCTACCTTCTGGACTGGTGCACCCTGAGAACCACACTACCATGTTGGAGGGGCCCAGAGAGAAAGAAAGGAGCTGAATCTCATGACCTGGGAGATGACCACAGGCCTGACTGACACTGAATTGCAGACTTGTGAGAAGCCTTAAGTAAAGCCCTTTTTAAGCTATCTCTGCACTCTTGGCCCAGGAACAATGTCAGATGACAATTACAGTTCATTTTAAGCCACCAAGTTTGTGTTTATTTGCTTCAAAGCAAAAGATAACCTTAACATCCTAGGTTTGCATGTACCTGAATGGATCATTATTTTCCCAACTTACTCAATCGTGATTTCCAACATCGTTAAATCTCTATGAGGCATGTTTATTTATTGATGAATGCACCTATTGTCATCTTTATATTAAATAGTAGAATATTGGCTATACATTATTTTCATAAATACTTGCTCATTATTTCATAGCCACTTTATTGTCATATATCACACATACTATACAGTTTATTCATTTAAAATGAATAGTTCCAATGGTTTTAGCAGTTTCTTAGATGGGCAAGCATCAGAGAATTGTCTCAAGGCACAAGAGATGGCATGCCTTTTGACTGTCACCCCAGGATCTGACACGTCCCTCCCTTCCCCAGGGAAAAACTAATCTACCTGCTGTCTCCTAAGAATTTCCTATTTGACACATTTAATGTTAAGTAGAATGATGTAGTATGTGTTTTTTGTGGCTGCTTTCTTAGCTGTTTTAAGATACATCCATGAGGTAATATGTATTACTTCCTCTTACGGCCAAAAAACAGCAAATTTAAAAACAATATTCTATAAAACAAATTTCCACTGGCAACCCCCCTTTAAAGTTAAAAATATATATAACAAAAGTTTTACTAGTTACTTTTCTTTGAAAGTGTTTGCCTATGTAGTGAGCCCCCTGAGGTATGCGCACTTTACTTAAATGATGTCATATGTGGGGACACTTGAGAACACTAAATAATAAAAATGTATGCTATGTCATGGACAAGAGAAAAGACATACATATCATCAAACACACTCACATTCATACTCACACTCAAATGCACATATACTGTCTCTCACACACTCACATGAACTCATACACACAGCTAGATTAAAGGCAGGACACTTAAACCCACCTTATCTTAAATGTTGACTGAGAGGAGCTCACTTTAGACCAGGTGCAGATGTAATAATTTGCCTTTATAATCACAGTTGGCTAATCAATACTATAGTTGGCTAGAAGTGTATCAGGTGCTAAGAGTCCAATAACATCATTGTGAGGACTTTTGGCATCCAGCAGCATTCCCACCTGGTGATCAGCTATAAATTCCAGCCCCAACCCATTTGCTCATCAAAAGTTCATTTAGGGCTTTTCTGGCCCTTTATCTACCTAGGACCATAAAAGTGTTTCCTATGAATGTTCATTCATTGCCACAAATTTGTGTTACATCACCCAAATGCCTACCATATACTGAGTTAATTCCTCCCAGATCGTTTACATGTTTGTTTGTTTGTTTACTCATTTTATTTTTGTGTATGCCACAGCTTGCAAAAGTTATTTCTCTTCTATCCTATGGGTTCTGGGAATTGAACCCAGGTCATGAGGCATGGCAGCAAGCACTTTTAATCACTGAGTCATCCTCTCAGCCCATCCTCTTCGTGTCTTAAGAAATCATTTCACCTCACTCCACTCCCACCCTGTCTGAGGATAGCCTTGTCAGAGGAGCTACTCTCACCTCACACTGGCCACCCTCCCTGCCAGGTCCCAGCTGAAGCCTGGCTAGTTCAGAGATAAAAGGAATCTTGGCTCCCTTACCCCAATTCGTGACAACTCCAAAAGTTTATCAAAACAACTAGCAGGTTCAGCTTGACTTTCATTAACACGGCATTGCAATCCGACTTCTGCCTCTGCCCAGCCCTGGTTATTTTTCCTCCCCCTCTTCCTGTTAACGGGCGCCCTCCTTAATGAGCTTCCTGTATGAAAATCTCTATCTGTGTACACACTTTCCAAAAACCCCAACCTGTTCCAGTGACGCGACTTCTTCGCACTGCATTAGCCGGAGGGTGGCAATCAACAAGTGAAGGAGTAAGCAGTTGGATGGAACACGTGGTTCAGACTGGTCTGCATTGTAATCATGGGAAACTATTGCTAGTCTTAGCTCGTATAAAAGCATATAATGTTCTTTACGAGCCTCACTTATAAGACAAAAACACAGTTCTCACCTCCAAAAGGATAAAAGACCATTTATTCCAGAGTCAAATATGAGTGACCATGGCCTGGAACAGCTTTAGGGTACCCCAAATTCCAGTCCAACATGGTAACGGTTTCATGAAACTTTATAGAGACACAGTGAAGAAAGCCATCAGTCAGGACACTTTTTAGATTCACTGGTTAGAGCAGAGTGGGGAGGTTTCTACTTTAGGCATCTGATGCCCTCTGACGACACTCTTAGCATTTATGTTGGTGGATGTGAGGGTCCACTTATACATTCCAAGGACTTACCTGACAGTCACAGGAATGTAACATTGCATACAGAGGTGGGAACTAGGTAATTGTTAAAGGGGCTAAAGATGGACCCAGATAATCCTGCTCTGAGCCTGCAACGGTTCAACTTTTACACACCACTGAAGTCCTAAATCAGCCTGTGAAGACACAGCTTCTTTCAGGAACATTTCATTCACATTGCTATACTCTGATCAGCCCCAATTCTTTCCAAAGTTGCCACACAAGAGTCTAAGCTGTGTTTGGTTTGGGTTTTTTCTTACTTGAGGTTCTTTCAGGCTCAAGTTCATCGTATTAATTGTTTATAAGACTACATGTACAATCTTCTAAAATGTTTTTTTTTTGAGTTTTTAAATGTGAGCATGTGAACCTGTATAGATTTATGCATGTAGGAGAAAGCACCTTTGAAAGCCAGTAGTGTGGGATTCCCCTGGAGAAAGAGTTGAGTGCTGGGAATTGAACTTGGGTCTTTTGCAAGAGCAAAATATGCATTTTTATCACTGATCTATCTCTCTGGTCCTATTATTATTATTATTATTATTATTATTATTATGAGAGAGAGAGTTTGCCATGTGCTTGGAGATACTTGTGGAAGCCAGAAAAGGGCATCAGAATCTCTGGAGATGAATGGAGTTACAAGTGATTATGGGATACCTGACATGGATGCTGGGAACAGAACTGAGGTCCAGCAAACACTCAAGACTGAGCCACCACTCCAGCCCTCCACGTGTTTAATTTTAATCCTTCTCTCCTTATGCTTGATGATCAGAGTCTAAGATGTAATACCAACTAAGATAGAAGTGAGACACAAGCCATGTACCTAACCCAATGGAAACTGCATTTGAGATGTCTCTACTCAAGCAGCCTTTCCCCGGTTCTGTCTTTAAGAAAGCAATCGTTGATGTTGTTAGCACTAAGTTCAGGGTCACAGAGGAAGAAAATGCTGCTCCCATTAAAGTGTCTGGACCAGGCAAAAGTGTACCTGTGAGGAGAGGCATGTGCTACTCACAACAGTGGAAGAGCAAGCACGTGAGGACAAGCCATTAGTTTGGTTTTTATTGTCACTCGGATGATGTGTCCTTTCCGCATTGGCTGGGTCTGACCTCACCGTCTTCCTCCATTGCCTCATTTTAAAAGAGAAGGAAATGAAGGGAAGCAAGAGGGGGCATTTAAGTTTGGGAATACTACTGGGCCTTCTGTAAACAAGTCTTACCTAGTGGGTGTTGGGGAGCTAAACGTTTGCATCAAGGTTTCACAAGGTGGGGAAGATAAACACATTTGTGTCCCTTGTGGTAGTTTTGCAGCTTTTGACAAAAGGGCTAATATTTAATGTTTCTTGAAATGCTACCATTTGGTAGGGATAGAAAAACCCAATGGGGTTACCACAGAGACAGCAAGGGTCAGAAATGTTTCCACAGTTCAGGGAACAGGTAGCTCATCGAGCCACAGCATTTTCAGGAAGGACAAAGGCCATAGCTACAATAGTTCCAAGCACGGCCCATGGAACAAGGAAGTAGACAGAAGAAGAATGAGGGTGGAACCTGAGAGCTTGGGATACTCCGCAGAATCGGGGATCCAGCACTAGTTAGGACTTGGGAGCTGACTAAGCCTGTGTGAACTGTAGCTGGTGGAGATTCCTTTATTACCAGGTGAACACCCCAGGGATTGCTACGGCAACTCTTGTCTGCCCTGGTCTGGATGTACTGGTTGTTTTTCTTCTTCTTGTGATCAGTTACCTGACAGGAAGTAACCCAGGAGAGGAGAGGTTTGATTGGGCTTGTAAAAAGATGCAGTCCATCGTTGTGGCTTCATTGTGACAGGAGTACACAGCATCTTGATAGAACAGGAAGCAGAGAGTGAGCTGGAAGTGGTACCCAGCTATAAAACCTCCAGCCTTGGCCCTAGTAACCCCTTCTTGCTGCTAGGCTTCCCCTCCCCAGGGATTCACAACATCCTAAAACAGCGGCACCAGCTGGAAACCTCGTGTCAAAACACATGAACTTATGGGGAGCATTGCAAACCACAATGCCTAACACTCTCCAGCCCCTTTGCCTTACACCCATCTCCGGTTCCCACTGGGTGAAAAATCACAGTAGAACTATTTGGTGGAGAACGCAAGCAGCAAAGAGAAGAGCATGTAACCCTTTAAATGTATAATTCTACCACACACACACACACACACACACACACACACACACACACACTCAATTCTCACTTCCCCATACCAGAAGAGCCACAGGTCTCCCACACACCGCCTTCCAGGGCTTCCTTAGACCACACGGCAATACAACCTGCTGTCCTGGTAAATTTAATGAAATGCTGAGGGTGTTGTGGGCAAACCATTGTCTTCCTCTATCCCGAGGGCGGTAACATCACAGCAAGGCTGCTCCACTTTAGCTTGCCACCTGCAGGATCTTACCTCTCCAGCAGGTGTTGCTTCAGCCAACGATGAGACTGACAGGATGGGAAAAAAACAAAAACAAAAACAGAAAGCCAAGTTTCCTCCCTGCATGGCATCTTCTTCTTTAGAGGCCTGATGAGGTCATGGCTAGAGAGTCAAGGGTGTGTCTCCCCCAGAAGGTTCATAGCCAAAGTTGATGTCTGTCAATAAAGAAAAACAGTGTGGGCTTCTTAGGTTTGGCTTGTTTGTTTCATTGTTTTAGTGGGTGTTACTGGCATATGTTAGCTATTCATCATAATGGATTTCACTGTGATATTTCATACACGTACATAATGTATTTCGATCCTATTCACCTCCATGCCTGCCTTACTCTCCTCCAACTCCCGCTAATCCCCTCTTCCCAATTGTGTTGCTGCTAGCTCCTTTGTTGCTATTTGTTTTTGATCTGTGACCCGGGAAGTTTGTTTGGGTTATTGGTGGGAGCTCAGGTGGCAGCTGTAAGCTGTTTCTTATTGTTTGTGTGTATTCTTTCTAAAAGGGGCCTCCAAACCCAACTTGGCATTGCTACAAATGACACAAATGTCTTAAGGCGGGAAGAGAAATCTTCAACATATCCCTACCCTCACTTTCCTGCCACTTTAAAACACCTTTATTGGCTACACGAGAGTTTAAAACTAGACACCACGTTTGGCAGGAGAACGAGCCTCGTCATGTCAATACATGCCCACAACTGAGGCTTCCTGAAACCCTAAGAGCAGAAGCCTCAGCCTTCCAGAGGCAGGGAGGATTCCTTCCCAAGTGCTGGCCGCCATGCCAGTACAGCATCACCGCCAGCTATGGGGAAGAGAGAGAAAGGTGAGCTGAAAGCAAAGCAGAAGACTGGGCCAGAGTGAGGCCTTGAGCTGTCCCAGCTGCGCCTGCTCTGGGTCTCAGGGTCCTAACTCAAGTGGAAGAGGCTGGGATCTGGAAGGAACAAACACACACACACCGCACACCACACACACACACACACACACACACACACACACACACACACACACACACACACACACACACACACCACACACCACACACCACACACCACACACCACACACCACACACCACACACCACACACACACACACACACACACACACACACACACACACACACACACACACACACACACACACACACACACACACACGACCTGGTATTATTTGCATACCAAGCCCTGCCCCACCCTTCTCGAAATCCTACTAGGGAAGAATGTGGCTCCGCCTTCCTGTCAATCTCTTGATTAAATAGGCACTTCCCTTCAGGAGGCTTCTGGAGTAAAGCACCTCCTACAGCTGCCAGATGCAGCTCTCTCCCACCATGAGAGCTGCCCCTCTGCACCTGACCAGGACAGTAAGCTTTGGCCTTGGCTGTCTGCTCTTGCTTTCTCTCCACCTGGACCCAGGCCAAGCCAAAGAACTGAAGTTTGTGACATTGGTAAGTACACTTTTCTCATTGTTTTTTTTTTTTTCCTGTTACCAGAGAGTCAGAGAAACCAAATGTCACCTTTCATGTTTCCTTTCTGTTATCGGCCCGAAACCAGACGTTGTTCAGCCTCGACAGTTAATAGTCACGCAAGCTTGCTTTAGTAAAGACAGCCTTCTCATTTGCCGTCCATGGCACGGTTTCTTTACAGCTGCCCTCTGCTCCGACTCCTTTTGACTGACAGGGGAAGCCATAGCTAGCCCTGTTTGTGTGCCAGGAGCTAGTCTGGCTTCTTCCCATTTAATGATCATTTGTTTTTTAATCAAAGAACAGTCACTTTCTGAAGACAAGTCACTCCTTGTGTTTATCATGACACTGGAGCATATATTTGCTGTGGATATTTGGTAGCACAAAAGAGAAACTGAACACAAAATTTCAGAGAGATTACCAGATAAACTGGTTTAGTTGATCATTAAAACGTGATGCTCTCTACATGTGGTCACTGTGATAAGCCATGAATAAAAAAGGAGGCATGTGTGTGTGCTGCCTGGTATCAGGGAAAAAATATATACAGTTGAGTGTTAGAAACATATGGAAAGAGCATCTTCAAAGTTAAAGGGATTTGCCTCTCTCTCTCTCTCTTTCTGCCTTTCTGCTTATTTTATTTCACACCCTCCATTGCTGTCTACATTTTGTATCCAATATAATGAAAGTTGGCTAATTCATAAGCATGTTTTCCTTCTGCAAGAATACCCAGAAGCTATTTTCATGATTAGAGAAAGGACACTCTTACTTAACTCTTAAACATGGTTCCTCTCCTGTCAGTGTGAGGTGTTCCGGACATTCCTCTCATTCTACAGAAAATCTTTAATTTTACATAAATCATGATTCTTAGTCAGGTAGATTTTTACTGGTTTTGAGTCAGGAACGAAGGAGGAGAAAACCGAGGAAACACCATCCTCTTCCTGAAAACCATTCATCAGTTGCCGGGCTTCTGTGTTGACATAGCAACATAACACCCTGTTCCTTCTGTGGGACACCATGTGAATGCTTCTTTCCCTTGCATGCATGAGCTCCTTGCCAATGTGGCCATTAACAGAGTGTAGAGAGGGTAGCATTGTGCTGTGTTCTGTCGGTCTTGTCATACTGTGCTTGGAACCAGCTGGCGGACTGGCAGCCTTCTCTGAGGCACCGGAGTGAGCTCCAGTTAGCTGCAGGTAGCAGCTGCTCTCAGAGTTCAACCCACAGCCCTTGGCTCTCAAATGGTCCTGGGGTTCCTTCCCATTCTGTCTGCCCCTCCGCTCTCAGTTAAAATACGTTCAGTGACTACCATAGTTCTTCCTTAAAGAAAAACCAAGCTACAAAGGTAACTCTCTTACAACTCAAAAATTAACCAGTACTGCATAAAGCAAACATTAACTGTTTTTCCTACAGTGGCTTTTATAAAAGTTAAATAGTGGGCAATTTAATATATCTTCCTTGGCCTCTAACAAAACAGCTTCTCTTTGATGATATAAGCCAGAAAATACAATTTTCTTCTTTTTATTGATTATAGGGGCCATCTGACTAGATTGAACACTCAGAGAAATCCTCAGAAGTTTATTAAGAGAACAAATAGAAGAATGATGAGTCTGGTGTGGCAGCACACGCCTTCAATCCCAGCACTTGGGAGGTAGAGGCAGCAGGATCTCTGTAAGTTTGAGTCTGCCTGGTCTACATAGTAAATTCCAAGTAGTGCATACCAAAATCTAGTAACCCCATTACTAAGGGGGTGGAGGCAGCAGGATCAGGATTACAAGGTCACCTTAAAAACTAGTGCAAGACCAGCCTGGCCTATGTGAGATCCTGTCTCAAAAAAAAAATGAAAACAAAACAAAACCCCCCACAAATTTGTTTTTCTTACTTTCAAGATGAAGATACAAGTGAATGAGGTTAGGAAACTTGATCACGGCCATACCAGTAGAAAAACAGCCTCAAACCTACATGTGTGATGCCCTTCACCGTGTCCCCATCACTAGATTCCAGCTATTTCTGTTGAATGCACATAGCCCAGAACCTGAAACTAGTCTGAGAGGACTGCACAGTGTGTAACATTACCCGGACTCAGAGGCTGTAAATGACTTCCTTATTTTTCCTCCATAGTTCAAGAAAAAATAAATCCTCAATTCTGAAAAGCTATTTGTGACAGAAAGAGGACACTGTCCTCACTTATTCTTACTGGTGAACAATCAGTTGTACACGCTTTGTTTTATTATTTATTTATTTATTCATTTATCCATTTACTCATTTATTTGGTTTCATGGTGCTGGGGGCTAAGCTCAAGGTCTCATGCATAAATCCAAAGACTCATATGTGACAGACAAGCAGCCAAGGAGAACATCTTCAGCCCACTGCTACAGTGGGCATACACAAACACACACCATGGAATACAAGTCAGAGGACAGTTTTTGGGAGTTTGTCTTTCCTTCCAACATTGAGTTCCAGGGATTGAAGTAAAGGCATCAGGCTTAAACAGCAAGAACTTTTACCCACTTAACCATTCGCCAGCTTTACATGATCTTGTGTTTCTATGTAGTCCTGAAACTTTCTCTGTAGACCAGGTTGGCCTTGAACTCAGAGATCCATCTGTCTCTGCCTCCCAACTGCTAGGATTAAAGACTTGAACCACCACCTCCCGGTTAACTTACATGATTTTTTTAAAATAAACTTACAAAAGTATCTCTCATGGAATTGTGGTTTGACCACTTATTAACAGCGGGTTGAAAAAGAAGTTAAGCTTAAAACAGGTTTAGATGTGTTGAAAAGGTCTGTTTAAACTGTTGAATGAAGTGTGTCTTTAACAGACATTATGGATTTCAAGGAAGGAACCTACTTAGTAAACTGCTTCTTGGGATGACTCTGGCATCCACCTCCCCAGACTGTCTGTAGAGAACTGGTATTTTTAACATTGTAGAGAGAAGAGAGTAAGTATGCTGAGTCTTAGTGTATGCACTAGCCAGCCTTGGTAATTATCACCCAGGGTCAATCTTGCTTCTCCCAAATACCTACTCATTTCCCACACATGCTCGCTTGCCTTTCTCTTTTGCAATAATCTCAGGCACCATAGTGTCCCACCAGAAAGAGAAGATGCCATTGTAAAAGCATCTCTCCCTTCAGTAAGAGAAAAACCACAAGTCAGGTGATCTCAGACAGACGAAGAAGAGTCTGTGTTGCTCTTCCGGCTGTTTATAAAGAAAGGGGTAATGACTCACAATACACCGCCTCCTTTTATTCTTCAGGGCTGACCTTATTTCTTCAGTCTTACCTGAGTCACAGTACGTTCTTGGCTCAAAGAGCCTCCAAGCCCTGTGCACATCGCCTCTTCAGGGGGATGAGTAGGCTACCAATCAAGGTTAGACCTGCACGTGATGCCAGCTATTGCATATTTACAGGGCTATCCCATCTTCTTCACTCCCACTCTTCAAGGGATAGTTGTCAATCCCATAATAGTTTTCTAATGCTTCTTGTTAGAATAGAAGTTGAAAGTGATACCTAGAAAAGCACAGAATTTTTATTAATTCAAGTCTGCTATTGTTAACCAGGTCTGGGAGCAGAGACAGGCCATTTAATGAAACAACTGAGTTTCAAGTCCCCCGAAATTAAAGCTGAGGATCACAACCATGGCTAAGTTTCCACCTTCACAGGTCATCTTCAGGATCAAGTGGCATGATTTAGGTATGGAAGTGTGAATGGATCCAACATCAAGTGCTTCTGGAAGTCATGTAGACAAATTTTTCTTTGGGTCACCAACTCACAAAACATGACACAGAGACTTATTATTAATTATGAAAGTTCGCCCTATAACTTAGGCTTGTCCCACTAGCCCATATAACTTATATTAACCCATTTTACTCATCTATGTGTTGCCATGTGACTCGGGGCTTTTACTTCTCCTCCTATATGTTTGTTCCCTCTGCCTCCACTGGCAACTCTTCCTTCCTTCTCCCCAGATCTCTCTGTCCCCAGAAGTCCAGCCTTAACCTCTTCTTGCCTACCTAATGGCCATTCAGCTCTTTATTAAACCAATCACAATGACACATCTTCATACAGTGTAAAGGACTATTCCACAACCATATAAAATGGAAGGTTTCTAACTTTTTGGTTTAATTGTAGATGATTTCTAGTTAGTTTTAAAGTTTACTATCTTAACCATTTTAAGAGTAGGCTTCAATGGTGTAAGTATATTCACAGACTTCCACCATCACCCTGAATCTGTGGAACTTTCTTACAAAACTGAAACTTCATACCCATTACATAATAGCTCTTCATCTTGCTCTCCCAATCCAGGCCTGTCCAACCTTCAGCTCATGGGCAGCATCTGACCAACGATATCTATGAATTTGACCCAATACAAAATTATAAATTCACCTATATTTATTTGCAATTTATTTTACAGATGACTGTGTCTCATTACAATGTCAGAAGGTCAGACAGACTTATTAGACCTCTGGAAGTCATTGTTCTGTTTTCTGTCTCTGAGTTAAATTCTTCTAGCTGTCTCTTATTTTTAGAACTATACTATAGTTGTCTGTTGTTACCAGTTTATGCTGCTTACCATAATGTCCTCAAGATTTGAGAGAACCCTTCATTATTAACTTGTTAATTAAATAGGAACAAAGAAGGGAGACAGATGTTAGACCATTAACAGCTCTCCTACCATCCTAGACCAACCACACAACTCATTTGCATATATGTCTTCCCCACCTATTATCTCCAGCTTATTTTTCCCCCCTTGGGGACATTCAGTTCTGTGCATCTGGTGTGCTCTGTGGAGAGAGGTTAGGGGTGAAAACAGAGAGGACTATCACATCACAGTTCAGACAAAGAAAGCACTATGAAGACCCAACTGGATCAGAATACAGTAGAATTGGAAAGCAGAGGTGATGCCATAAACAGAATCCAGTGGGTTGGATATAAATGTTACAGGAAATGGTGAATAGCTAATGACCCTATGATTTCTAATATGGGTTACTGGAGAGATGAGGATGCCATGGAGGTAGAATATGTAGAGGGTGTTAGAAAGTAATTTGCATGGTTCTGGACAGCATCATACAATAGAGCATTGTAGCAAGAAGTGCAGACCCGAGACTCAGACCACTTGAGTTGCGACGTCAGCTCAACCCGATGCTAGCTGTGTAGTTCTAGATGAGCCACATAACCAGTCTGTGAGTCATCACTGGAAATGGGGCTAATAATGCCTCATGGAGTTGTTATGAGGCTTAAGGAAATGCATGAAAAGTACTTACACCTTTTTGGTGAGTACAGGGATCATTGTGACAAGTGCTAGTCTCCATATACTAACCTGGCGCGTGGCCAGTTCATTCTTTTTATTCTCAAATGGATCAAGTAGATATTTACATATCTTTTAAGTTCAATCTGTTTTCTTCCTAGCTTCAGGCTTTGGTCCAATAAACACAAGAGAAGCATGTATTGGTGAGTGATTTGGAAACGCAAACCTATTGCTACTTCACTCAGTGTACTGGCCCATTCAATTCCTTCATGGCTTTTGACTTGACTTTATCTTTACTGTTCATGTTTAGACAAGGCCTTTAGCCATAGGCATAGACTTTGCAAGACCTCTTCGCCATGTTCTTCTTTACTTCAACTGAAGTAGAATTTCAAGTGTAAGTAAAAGGTTGTAATCATCGATCAGATGCCAGGCACTTGACTTTTCATACTGAAACTCCGAAATTACCCAAAAGGCATACAATATGATCTTAGTGTTACATGAGAGTCAGAGTTCTTGCTGTTGTTGTTTTGTTTTGTTTTGTTTTGACCCAGATCGTGTCTTTAATGGCTTGGGATTCAATAAATCCTGTTCTGGAAGTTTATCTAGAATCTGTGACTTGGATTATAAAGAGAGCCACTACATAAAATGCCCCCACTAGAAAAGAAAAGGAGGTTATTTTTACTCATAAACAGCCTCCTGCTCTTTCTCCCTCATGGTGTGGCTCCCTAGTCACAAGTGCCCAGAAGCAGCAGATGTCTCTGGCAACCAGCAGGTTCTGCAGCCGATGGCCCTGAGAGCTGGAACTGGCCAGGCAGGAAGTCAGTCTCAGCTTGGAAGCTCAGGAACTTCTTCCCACTTGCCTGTCCACACATTTTGAAAATTTTCAGAGCAGCAAACTCATTAGAGAGACAGTATTTGGCTCAACACATTTTAGATAGCCAGTCTAGACATGTCAAGATTGCAGAGTGGCTCAAACCCAAAAGCAAAAACAGTACGGCTCTTGGATAAATGCACACTGAGGGAGATGATTAGCTATTAATAGGGGTGTTTTTTTTAAAATAGAGGGACGTTTTTCCTTTGCTCAATGGGTAATGCCCTGGATGCTACAAACTACTTTCAGAAGGAAAGGAAGCATACGGTACAGTTTTGGGTGCGAATAACGCTAGTAACAAACATAATAAGAAATACCATAGACTGAATGCATCCTGTGTGCTCTGTGCTCACACCATACTATTACACATGCAATTCTTGGGTTGCTCTTGACTGACTGAAAGCGATTTTGTTGCTACCTGGAAAAAAAATTGAGACATGCAAAACTTTTGAGTTCAGTCATTTTCTCAGGGTAACTGGAGAAGTGGTTGACAAAGCCGGGGTCTGAAACACGCCCTAGGTAATCAGAATATCAGAGCTTTCTGTTTACAGCTTGCATGCTATGCAACTCATGAGTTTGTACCACTTCCCTTTCCTCCTGGCTTCTTGCTCTTCCTGGGCCCTGGAGAAAGATCTTGCTCAGACCTCTCATATCTTCCTCATGACCAGTGCAGGATGTAGCTGCATACCAATTCTTTACACAGATGGCTCTCCCTCTTACCTCTTATGGCATCCATCTACAGGAATCATTTCTACCCAAACTGTCTTTGTTCTAAATATCTGCCAATGGATTTATTTCTTAGTTCCTTAAAAGGAGAAAATAGAACTGGGTAAATGGCTCAGTGGTTAAAACACTTGTCTGTGAGTGTGAGCACTGGACTTTGGATCTAAAGACATCCCAAAGTTTTTATGCTATCTTGAATTCTAAACTGGAAAGGACAACATGGCAGTTTGCTAAACTCCAGCATTACCCAAGGGAGGACTCACTATTCCAAATCAAAGGCAGAAATCGGCATGATAGAAAGGGAAGTTGAGTGCTGGGGAGGAAGGAAGAAAGCAGGATTGCACAGCATAGCTCGTTGCTACATGACAATGAAAATCAAAAGCTCTTGTGAAACCAGAGGACTGGAAAGATGCTCTCACCAGCCTGGAGGAAGGAGACCCAACCCAGGGTGCATTAGCCCATACATTCAGGCCTTTTGTGTGTTATTGTATTCTAGACACTGGCCATTTCCACAGGGATTCTGCTTCCAAGGACTTCCTAGGAAGTTGCATTATTAATCTCTATTATCAACTTGACTAACTCTGACATCATCTAGGGACACTCATTGTGTGTGTCTGAGAGTATTTCCAGAGAGGTTTAACTGAGGAGGGAAGACACACTCTGAGTGCCAGCAGGTACACCCTAGGGCCCAGAGTCCTAAACTGGATAAAATGAAGGACTTTAAAAAAAAAAAAGGAAATCCAACTGACCACCAAAATTCCCCTCCCTCTCTACACTCTTGACTACATATGTAATGCAACCATCTGCTTCACATTCCCAATACGATGCCATGACAGATTATATGCAAACCAGGAGCCAAAGTCAAGCCTTCCTTGTTTCCCTTAAGAGTTATAGTTGGGTATTTTGTCATAGTGATGAGAAAACTAACTAGTATGGAAGAGAAGGAACCTGCTAATATTTTTTAATCTCTAATGGACACAACCAGAAAATATTAGAGCTGGTAACAAAATAGTAAGAAAAGGCTGAGATTGTGCAAGGATTACTTAATGAAAAAGGCTCCTCCCATTTTCCTCCAGCAACTGAATATCAAGAGTGGGTGTGTGTGTGTGTGTCAGGAGAAGCAGCAGACACTGGGCATTCAAAGCAGATAGAAAGTCCAGGGCAAAGGCACTGGGGTTGGGCCAGAAGGAGGCTCCTGCAGCTAAGCACATTTAGCAAGAATGTAAGCTGAGGACATTGAGGTGAAGGAGGGACCTGATCAGGTAGGGCTTGGGGGGAAGAGCTCTTATAAGGACTTTGAATCTTTGCAAAGAGCAGTAAAACATGATATTTCTAAGAGTGGTAAGGTTGTAAGTTAAATACTAACAATATACAGACTGGCCTTAGGAGATGGCAGTGGGTTCATAGGTATTCCTTATAAAAAAAAGTATCATTTTTTGTAGATGATATGATAGTTTACATAATCGATGAAAAATTTAACCAGGGAACTCCTACAGCTAATAAACATTTTCAATGAAATGGCTACATACAAGATTAACTCAAAAGCTGGGCATTGGTGGCCCACGCCTTTAATCTCAACACTCCAGAGGCAGAGGCAAGCGGATCTCTGTGAGTTCGAGGCCAGCTGGTCTACAGAGCAAGTTCCAGGACAGCCTCCAAAACAATACAGAGAAACCCTGTCTCGAAAAACCAAAAAAAAATTAAAAGATTAACTCAAAACAATCAGCAGCACTCTAATATACAAATGACATATGGGCTGAGAAAGAAATCAGGGAAATGAGGAAATGACTCCCTTCACAATAGCCACAGACAATATAAAATATATTGGGGGTAACTCTAACCAAACAAGTGAAAGATTTGTATAATGAAAACTTCAAGTCCTTGAAGAAAGAAATTGGAGAGGGTATCAGAAGATAAAAAGAGCTCCCATACTCATGGATGGGTAGGATTAGCATAGTAAAAGTGGCCAGAAAAATCAGGTATGGTTGTTCATGCCTGCAATCCCAATGTTTGAGAGGTTGAAGCAGGAGGATCACTTCAAATTCAAACTAGCCTGGATTAGATCAGGGTATACCAAGGGAGACCCTTTCTAAAACAAGCGATCAAAGAGATAGAAGGGGAGAGGGTTCTTTTAAGCACAGAGTATGTGGTTGAGAGTTCTTGACGTCTCAGATCTCTTCCTCCTGCAGCCATCACTAGTTCTGTGGAAACTCCTCACCTTTAATAATAATAGTTTTAGTTTTCTAAAGGTTTTGATGGAGTAGGATTAATTGACTGGGGCCAGAAGCAATATGTAGTAGAGTTGGGAGACTGTCCCGCTGTAGGCCTAAGAATGCCTACATATAGTCCTTGTTGAGTTGAGAAACTCTGAGCTCAACGAATGCCACCTGCACACACAGGCATGGACACATGGATCCAAACACACATGGGAACAGGAGACCCCACACATGCATGTAGACATGGACGGACACACACACACACACACACACACACACACACACACACACTCTTAACCTGTAGTTCCTCACTGGAACAGGGATATTTATGTTTTTATGGAACACTTCTCACAAAAAGTTCATGGTATGCTTCAGCCACTAAAGCTGAACATTTAAAATCTACTGTATCATGTGAGAATACAATTATTCCTAGTTATAGTGGGGACTAACTTCAGTGCTCTGCTCTTTATTAAATGTATTGTTTCAGCTTCTTTATTGTGGTTGTGTGTTGCTTTGTTTATTTGAACAAAGCCTCATATTATATCCTAGGCTGGACTCCAACTTACTATTTAGTATTCAACACTATACTTGGCTGTTTTGATGTTGCTTTGGGTCTTTGGGTAGAGTTGTCGGTTTGTTGGCTGGTTGGTTTATTTGTTTGTTTGTTTGAGACAAGGTCTCTCTCCGTAGCCCTGGCTGTCCTGGAACTCACTATGTAGACCACACTGCCTTTGAACTCATAGAAATCTACCTACCTCTGCCTTCAGATTGCTAGGATTAAAGATGTATACCACCATACCCAGTTCTCTCTCTCTCTCTCTCTCTCTCTCTCTCTCTCTGTGTGTGTGTGTGTGTGTGTGTGTGTTGAAACACTGTCTTGTGTGTAACCAGTTCCTGGGTGCCAGGATTACAGGTGATTGCCAACTGCAGGGCAGTGCTCTGCTAAGGAAGTCACACTTTTTGTTTGTTGTATCTCAGCTTTACTATTTAAATACTACACATAAATTATGGTGCCTGAGAAACTTTTTTATAACAAGGTTTTGGGTTCTTCTTGTGTAACACACACACACACACACACACACACACACACTTCAGTCTTATAGGAAAGGAGTATATTGAGAAGAATTTATTTTTAAAAATCTCCACATTTCAGATCATGCTGACTTAGCTGGAGGAGGAGGGATGAGGAATGGACTTGGAGAAATGAAGCTGTCTCTAGTGAAGCTATCAATCATTAGTGAGTAGTTAAGAATGCTAGTGTTGAGCCGGCCAGTGGTGGCGTATGCCTTTAATCCCAGCACTCGGGAGGCAGAGGCAGGCAGATCTCTGTGAGTTCGAGACCAGCCTGGTCTACAAGAGCTAGTTCCAGGACAGCTTCCAAAGCCACAGAGAAACCCTGTCTCAAAAAAACAAACAACAACAACAAAAAAAAAGAATGCTAGTGTTGAACATACTCAAAGCCTGGGTTGAATCTACACACACACACACACACACACACACACACACACACACACAAGAAGACACTGTTGTGAAAGATACATGGCCAATGCCTGGTTAGCTCTACCTCTTACCTGCTTGAGGATTTTGGACTCATCACTTAACTAAGATGAGCTGTGAAATGTATATAATAACAATAGTGGCTAAGTTGTAGAACTGGTTGAAAGGATTAAACCGAGACATGCTTAGCAACTTCTCAAGGCAGAGCAACTACTATTGTTGTAGTTGTCTGCTGGGAGGAAGCATTGTGCTCTGGTAGGAAGGATTGGTTGTTCACTGCTCCAGTAGAATGTTCATTATGGGATTTTTCTTTGGCTAAGTCAGTGGTAAGGCATTGGTTCTTTGCAATTGTATAACAAGGAAATACTATGGGCATCTAGTGAGCAAGATGCCAAGGGCCTGCTAAACAGTACACAAAGCAGCTTCCTATAGTAGAGAATTACCTACCTCTGGGAATGTACAGTGCTAAGTTGAAAAATCAATGTGAGGCTAGTAATCTGTGAAAGCCATGTCACAATTCTCGTTCCTCAGATCTGGGAAGGTTTGCTGCATGGTGACTGGGATCCAAGCAGTCTAAGAATGTGCCGGGCTATGGAAACAGTCATTAATGGCTAACATTGGTGGTTCCCACTCATGACCAAGTCACTCCTACAAACTGGCACCAGCAGCTGTTCTTCCTGCTGGAAAGGGAAACTTCGTGTTTCTAGTTCCTTACCTACTCCCCAGGGCCTTTTACTACTCTCTGCCCTATTCCCCTCTGTGTTCTATAGGCTGTCTTGTTGGGCTTTTAATTTCCCACTAGTTTAGGGAAGCAAAGACCCACTTTGTTCAGTCACCAGAGTCATAGCATGGGCCCTGGTAGCCTTCCTTGCTATTCTGGAATTCCTTCCTTAAAGTAACTCAAATTTGAGGGTGTTCCTTCCTCAGTGTCTACTGAGCTGTTTGGTAGGTGTTCAGAAACACAGCATCCTTGCGTACTTACAGTGGGGGTCTCTCATCAGGTAATCCAAGTGGCCAACGAAGGTGATCTCAGATTAAATGAAGTGTTATGCAACCATCCTGTGTGTTATTAAATACTTTTTGCATCCTTGTAAGACTTCATCTTGTCCTTCTTGATTGCTTTTCGTTCCTTATGTTTTGACTATAAAATAGCATTGAGTTTGCCTTGACAAGCTACTATTTTAGAATCAGAGTGTCAAGGTTTCAGAAGTCCCATGTCTTTCTTCAAAAACAAATGTGCTGTCAGAATAGCATGGTGTGCTTACAGATCTAAAAGTGTGTTATTAAAGTGCTGAGATCTGGCTTTCTGAATCTCCCCATCTGTAATTCATGTGCCCCCAATGTCCTAAAACTAACTAATCACTGAACCAAAGTATCCACAAATGAGCATGTCATTTCAAAAACAGTTTTTATTATATGTGAAATTTTAAGAGCATTGTTGCTGTCACAGTAATTAAGAAAAGAATATACAGTCTGTCTGCACCAAGAGATCTTGTATGCATATGTATCTGTCTATTATATCGGACACATGACTATATATATCCTTTGCTTTCCAGTAGCCAATCATCTTGATTGTTGTGATTACCCCAAAACTCACCAGAGTTTTTTTGGACAGAATTTTAGAAGAATAATACCTTTGGTTATAAGCGCAACTAACAAAACCAAGATCATTGGGGAGGGGACACTTGGTCATTAGAATTTTCTAAAGCTCTCAGGTGATTCCAGTGGACTGACAAGGTGGCAGCCATGGTTGAAGAAACTCTATTATGACAGGTAGAGGCAAAACACTCAAGTGAACTTTATAATGTTGTTGTCCCACATCTTTTCTTAGGTGTTTCGGCATGGAGACCGAAGTCCCATCGATACCTTTCCTAACGACCCCATTAAGGAATCCTCATGGCCACAAGGATTTGGCCAACTTACCCAGGTTAGTTTGTTCTATTTTCTTTTTGTTTTGTTTTTTATATTTTTGAGACAGAGTTTTATATAATACAGGCTGGCCTTGAACTCCCTAAATAGCCAAGAAAGACCTTGAAGTCCTTCCTCCACCTCCCAAGTGCAGGGATTTCAGGTATAGACCACAGCTTTGGCTAATTTTTTAGTAAAGGAGAAATATGTACAGAATTTTTCATTTTGATACATTTATCCTGCTGACTGTATTTAAGTGTGAGAAGTTTCCATAGAGATTGTCTAGAGATGTGTTAAAAATAGCAACAGTGTCTAATTTAATTGGCATAGGGCAATTAGGAGGTTTGGATGCTCTTCAACTGATTGCCCAGTTTCAGTCTTCATCCAAAGCTGAGAATCACAGCACTAATCAACCATCAGCTTTTGTAGAAATTATAACTCAGAAAAGCTATGGGAAGCCAGTATCTGCTGCTTCAGGTCAGAGCCCTTCCACCATGGCCTAACCACCTTTCTATCTAACGAGAGAATGTCACAACAGTTCATATATTGTTTTCTTAGTATGGGGCTCCTGTTTCCTTGCTCTGGTTTTCTAGTGAGGCCAAAAGGTTTTTGAGGACTATGAGGTCCGGACTCAAACCTAGAAATCTCTTAAGTCACAATCAGATTCCAAAAACCAGCTGTAGGTTAGAAGACAGTTGGACCCAAAGAACCCACTTCTTCAGTTAGTCAGGCCATGGTATGTTGTTCCTTTGCAACAGTCATCCTCATATTTGTTGAGAGGTGATGACAGAGATGCTTCCAAGTGATAAGCGAATGAGGCAGTGTGTGCAAGCCGTGGCTCCAGCACAGCATCCTTTCTGACTTGTGGATCTCTGGTGAGGCTCTGGATTAATGACAATTCTCAGTGCAGTGCTCCTCTAAGTCTGGCACACTGGTCCCCCAGCCTGAATCATTTGGATCCCAGGGCCACATACACAGAGATAGAATCTTAGGGGAAGATGCTGGTGAATCTGAGTTTCAACAGGTGCCCCTGGGTACTTGTATTTTAATGCACACCAGTGCTCCAGCAGCACTGAGCTAAGGCTAATCTCAATGACCCACCGGACTCTCTGAGAGAGACAGTTAAAAACAGATTCCTGGGGCTGGAGAGTTGGCTCAGCGGTTAAGAGTATTTGTTATTCTAGGAGATGATTCAGATTCATTTCCAGGTACCCACATGGTAGTTCAACAACCATCTGTAACTCCAGGGGATCTGATGTCCTCTTGTGACTTCTGTGGGGACCAGGCACACATATGTTTCATAGACACACATATAGGCAAAACACTCATACATATAAATTAATAAAATAAGTAAATCTTTTTTAAAAAGACTTCTGAGCCCTTCTTCCAAAGTTAGTCACTTTGTAGACCAGGCTGGCCTTGAACTCGAAGAAATCCACCTGCTTCTGTGTCCCCAGTGCTGGGATTAAAGGCGTGCGCCACCACCACCCACTACTCCCTGTTTCTTGCTCAATATGTCCAGAATTTGGTTTCTAACATGTTCCCAAATGATTCCACACCTGCTGGTCCACAGACCACACTGTAAGTAACAAGCTCTATTTTTTTATGAGCCAGACATAGACTGTGAATAAAACAAATCAGTCTGCTATTGTAAGGCTTAAAGGGACCTTCAGATTCAGCAAGATCAACTTCATCAGACAGTTGCATTTCATTCATAAAAAAATCCCTAGTAAGTGGTCAACCAATCACTTTGAGTGTTCTGCCCACAGGAATCTCACTACCACACCTAAGACAAGCCATTTATCTAGGTAAACCGCCAACTATCAACTACACATATTCTATGCACAAGCCTCTACATTGTGTGCTAACAAAGATGAAGGCGTATTCTCAGGGCCTCCTGACTAAGGCAACTGTTCTCTCTTGTCTTAGTTTAAAAAGGAGGTTTTATTGTGGAGCTGTGATGCATATCTTGTTCTTGTTACACACAATGAAGAAAGACATGTTTCTATGATAATGTATACTTTCCCTAACCTTCATTTTTATTTTCTTTCCCCATAGTGGGGCATGGGACAGCACTATGAACTTGGAAGTTATATAAAGAGAAGATATGGAAGATTCTTGAATGATTCCTATAAACATGATCAGGCAAGTTGGGGAATCAGAACTTTGAAAAAATCAAAATAATTCTTCATATTCATGAAGAACTTATACCTTTGCTATTTTCTGAAGAACTTGTACACAGCAGAAATCTTGTTTACAGATGTATTGCTGTTTATGGAATTATTTTGCCCTAAAAATTTATGAATTTTTAGTTCAACTTTGGCTTAGTGTCACTTGTCAATTACATTATTGGTCTACTGCTTGCTTTGTCCACTGTATGTTTTGGTATTATCCACCCCTTAACAGATATGATTGTGATGTTCCCACTGTGCCTGTTGATATCTTATGCTTCTCTTCAGCTCTTTCCCTGGCATCCTGTCAGCTCCACAGAAAGAAAACATTGAGTTTTTTTCTAATTTTCCATCTGCTTTGATTTATCTTTCTCTAGGTTTATATTAGAAGCACAGATGTTGACCGGACTTTAATGAGTGCTATGACAAATCTTGCAGCCCTGTTTCCCCCAGAAGGCACCAGCATCTGGAATCCCACCCTGCCCTGGCAGCCCATCCCAGTGCACACAGTGTCTCTCTCTGAAGATCGGGTCAGTATCCTGAGTAATCCAGGAGAAGGAAGTTAGGCTGCTAGGGACTTACAGATTCAGTATGCTGGATACACAGGACATGAAAATGCCCAGACAACCAAGGTTAGGAGCTGAGTTTTTTGCTTTGCTGCCATTTCAACTTTTGGTAATTTCTCTTCCTTCATCTACAAACACACAATACACACACACACACACACACACACACACACACACACACAGAGAGTCTCCTCTCTCTTCCTCTCTCTTCCACTCTCTCTCTCTTTCTCTATTTCTTTCTTCCTCGTGTTCTGCCTTCAATCCCCATGATTTTAGTGCCCAACATAGATTTCTCATCTCCCCTAAATATCCAGATCTCCCTGCCCACCAAACACCTCTCTCTTATTAAAAATGTACATTCTGAGACAAGTGAAATAAAGCACTCAGAGAGGTAAAATAATGAATGAACTTCACTCGATGCCGCATTGCTAGGAAACAGCAGTCAGTCCTGGGCCTCCCCCATTCAAAACATCTTCTTCTCTGTGAGATAGTGGTTCTCAGACTCTGCTTCCATGAGAACCAACTTGAGAGTATTCAGGATGCCCAATGACTAGGGACACTCCTCAAGTCAGTCTCCAAGAGTAGACTCTGTAATCAGTATCTTTTTATTATTTTTATTTCATTATATGTGTATGAAATTTTACATGCATGTATGTCTGTGCACCATGTGTGTGCCAGGTGTCCTTGGAAGCCAGAAGAGGGAGTTGGATCTGGAACTGGGATTGCAGATGGTTACAAACTGTCATGTGGGTGCTTGGAATCGAACTTTGGTCTTATAGAAGAGCAGCAAGTGGTCTTAACTGCTGCTGCACTATCTCTTCAGCCCCAACGTCAATATTAAAAAAATAATCTTCCTAAATGATTTTATGGGCAGCCGAGTTTGAGATGCAGGACCATGTGCCAACTTGCCTAAATGGAACTACTTGAGAGAAATTCAATTTAACCCATACACAGTGGGGTTGACCAAGAAATCTAACCCTTTCAAAGGAACTGGCATTTAGAAAATATGAATAAATAATAAATGAATAAATAAATAAATACAGCCAATGTAGACTGTAAGGGACTATGAAGGAAAAGGTTTGGAACAGAGACTTATTCCTTGATTTCCCTGAGCTGTATTGTAAGCTTGACCATTTGTGTTTTTATAAAGTGAGAAATCCAGACTGGGTCATTGATTTAAATGCAGAGGTTCATTCAGCTCACACTTTGAAGACTTGAGGCCCGAAGCATGACACCAACATCTGTTCATAATCTGGAGTAGGCCCTCTTGCTGGGCCATGACCTGCCAGGGGATGTGAGATGGTGATGCAGAGCAGCGTCTCTAAGAAAGTTTGCTTTTATACCAAATCCCCTCCCACCCATAGAGACCCACTAATCTGTTCATGAAGGCAGAGCGTTTGTGACCCAATCATTGTCCATCATCTTGTATTGTGTCACATGGTTGATACATGCAAGTTTCTTTCATCAACTAGATCTTAATGTAAGGGATGAAGCTTGGTCTTATACTCATCGCTCAGCATGGCTCTGAGAGTAAACTAGTGTTTTCAACAATTTTGTTAGACTTCTTAATTGGTAAGCATTTTGCTAGCCTTAATGAAAAAGTAGCTGGAACCTATGGGTAGATAATTTTTCTGTTTCTCTCTCCATCTCCCTCACTCTTTGTTCCTTTTTCCATCTTCCAATAGCACCAGTATCTTTATTATGCAATTTGATTACCATCATCTGGATTTCAATTGACTAGTTCCTTTGTTCCACACTAGCTATGTCTGACATTACATTTCAGGCTTCATCTCTGCAGAGAAGGGTATGCTGAACATAATTTACTTTTCTTTTTGGAAAAAGTATTGTTCTTGTTGAAAAGTATTGGTAATATAATGCTTCCATCCTGATCTGTGAAGGTAAGGATATAAATACATCATTCTAGCTTTTCAGAAAATATCAGAAAAATGGTTATAGTAGATTAACCTTGAGTGGGGTTGACAGGGGAGAACTGTTTCTACAAAGCATATATGAAAAATGCATGCAGACATTAAGTCAAGCTGCATATCCTGAAGGAGTTCAGAGAAGAGACTACCCAGGGCAGGGACTCAGGTTCTCACAGCGAGTAAAACTGTGAGCTAGACTGATGAGGTAAGGGAGGAGACGAAAGCGTGCATTCCTCAATATTGCATTCAGGTGATAAGTGTTGGATGTTGGAGTCTCGGAGCATAATTGTTGATGTCATTCAGGGATGCAGAAATGAAGGTCTGCGACTACGTGGTCATAAGAAGGAAGGAAGCAAAGATAAAACCAGGTGACATACAGCATCAGAAAGGGCAGACTGGAAACAATTCATAAAGCTTTCTGAGTAGTGACTAACACGCCACCCTTGTTCTAGTTATTGACAATGCTTCAGTGAGCATGACAATAGAAGAGCCAGTTCACTTGAGATTACTATCTCGTAGACAATAAAGAACACCAATAAAATGCTTTAATATTGTGATAAGTTCCTTAGAAGAAGGAAATAATTTACTGTAGTGCCTGGGGTAGAATGGCTTAGAAACCCTAAGGTGGGCCACTCACACAAGGTCCCCAGTGTATCTGGACAGGAGAATGTGAGTACAAACAGCACTGGGGGAGTAGGGTAAAGCACTTATTTACTACATAGATTCTTACAAGTCATGGCAAGTTTGGATCTGATTCCAGGTGAAACGAGACGTCTGTGGAAGTTAAGACCCACAAAAATGACTTGATCTTTGGGGTACCATGGTGTAGCCGCTTCGAGGAGAATGGACTGAGAAGTCAGAGGGATGGACAGCAACTGACCAGATAGGAGGCATAGGTAGTTCCTGAAACACAGACTATGCTGGTCCAGACTGGGAGATGACAGCAAAGATGAAGGAAGGGGTCTGTATTCGAGCTAGGTTGAAAACAGAGCACTTCTAGTGACTGCCTACAACGCAGGTTTATAACCTTTATCGTGGACAGAAGTAAAGACATTAGTAAAAGGAAATGATAGAAGATGAACTTGGCCTCAGCTTTACACACACTAAACTTCAGAGCATCAGTGATCAAAGAGCAGCCTTCAAATAGTGCTGTCAAGAGCTGCAACACCAGCCCGGTTGAAAAAGAGTCCCAAACAAACTTATGAGTCAGCAGCCTGGGCATTACAGTTAAAGCTAAGAGTGATTGTGAAACTCACACAAATTTTACGATGATTATTTTGTCCTCCTAGTAGGTTTTTAATTGCATTTTCCATACATTTAATATACACCCTTATTTTTGACAGTCTGCAGGTTTGCCAGAATGAAGCCAATGAATAGTTGATCCCTTTAATATTCTATCCCAAGCCCCTAATTTATCTCATCTAACTCCTGGGGGAGAGAGGGTGCACACAGACGTGCACTTAGTTCCAGAATTAAAGGTGTTGGGGAGAAAGCAAGATAACAGTCATCCACACAGAAAATGAGCACTGTGGAACATTTACCAGTAGCAAGCTCATGAAAGGAAAATAAATAAATAAATTACAGTTCCTGCATCTGGGTACATGCCCTATTGTTTTAAGGCCTGAGGACCATTTGCCTCATTGCCTCTAATTTTAGAATTTCTATTCAGCTCAAATAACCCTGGGGAATTTAAAGGCTGCTTTAGACTTAATGAAGCTTAAAATGTTGGCCAATGATTGTCTCACTAATCGAAGTCTTATTTTTTTTCTTTCATTTGCAGTTGCTGTACCTGCCTTTCAGAGACTGTCCTCGTTTTAAAGAACTCCAGAGTGAAACTTTGCAATCTGAGGAATTCCAGAGGAGGCTCCAACCATATAAAGTTAGTAATGTCATCTTCTGAATACTGGGGTGTGAAGGTCAAGACAAAGGATGAAACTCAGCCTTCTTGACAGAATTGTGGGACGAATGTGTTTGTCAGTGGCTCGTTTTAGCAATGGGCTAGGGTATTTAACTAGGGAAGTCATCCTACCCAGTTTCTTTCCCTGTGTGGTGGCCACCAGCTAGTAGTTTATTTTTTATTAAACTGAGGATGTATCCAATCCCTAGACATGGGGGTAACATATCTATAATCCCAGCATTCAAGAGGCAGAGACAGGAAGAGAACTACCTGAGATACACAGAGATTTCTAGGTAATCCTGGGCTACACATAGCAACCCCATCTCAAAACTAAACAAAACAAAGTGTATTCATTTTCCCTGACTTAATGAGTAATTTTTAAAAATCAATTAATTTCTTAATGTTTTGAAAGATTTTTCAATGTAATCATCTCCCTCCTTGAATCAATGACTGTGATTAACTGTACTCAAAGATTTACTAGAATTAAACTATCTTTACATTTCTCAAATCACGTCCTTTTCCTTTTACGTGAAATTGAATTATCTGCTAGTGTTTTGTGCTTTGAATCGATTTTACAAGTGACATTGAACCTACTTTATTTTCTAAGCTGTCTTTGCTAACATTGGTGTTACAACTAGTGCATGAACATTTTGAGTTTTCCCTCTCTCTTTAATGTTCCTGAGCAGTTAAAATAGCATTAGATTAATTTACCCTTGAAGAGCTTGATAGAGTTCTGCTGGTGAGAGGTTGCAGTCTACCATGGCCTAGCAGCTCTCTCTTAGCTCAGCAAAATGGAAGGCTCCCTCCTCCCAGTGGAAGGCACCCTGTTCTCTACCTGGCAGACTGTCTCTAGGTCTGGGTACCTGACCTATTTCTCCTTTGACCCTTGACACAGTTCTCTACAGAAGCTTTCCCCCTGCCATATGGTAATTAGGCATTATGCTAGGAGCTCTATGATAGGTTCATGCTTCCACAGATGATAACTAAGACTTGGACTAGGAGCCTTATGATAGGAGCTGCTGTTTAATGCAAATTAAGTGATGATCCAGTCACTGTCCCCAGCCATCATGTCTCCCCTCACTCTGGAATAAAGTTGAACTGACTCACTGAAGCTGTCTCCCAGAGAGCTATCTTTGCCATATTCACAAGCCACATACAAAGCTTTCTGTTACTGCTTCTACTCCTTTGTCCTCATGTACTGGTGGCCAACTGACCATGAAGAAAAGGGGGACCCCGTGGAGTTCCTCAGAGAAATCGTGCATTCTGGGGTTTTTATATTTGAGCCAGGAGAAACAGGAGTCATCTTCCATGTATAGGGAGTAGGTAGTAGGTGTGTGTGTGTGTGTGTGTGTGTGTGTGTGTGTGTGTTTGTGTGAGCGTGTGTGTTCCTCTAAGCCTATGTGCACACAGCTGTATGTAGAGCCCAGAGTCACCTTCAAGTATCAGTCCTCAAAACCATCCAGTTGGTTTTTTTGAGACGGGGTCTCTCACTGGGCGCTGGGGCCTGCCCTTTGCTTAGACTGGCTGGCTAGAAGTTCCCAATGACCCTCAGTCTACATCACCTTAATGAAGATGGCATTTCTGTTCCACCTAGTCCCACAGCCTTCACTTTAATTCTGTGATTATAAGCTCATACCACCAACCATGACTTTTTACAAGCTGTCTTCCCAGCCGCAGGAATAGGATGCTCATTAACACTTATTTCTGTTCATTTTATGGAAATCTGTTGAAGTTAATTTATCCAAGTCTTCCAGAAGACTTTCTTGAAATGGCTGCCAACCTCACAGTCCAATAGCTGAACACGTATCTTGTTACGGCAGCATAGAACCTTCTAGTGAAATGCTTGCACAAATGGATATTGCATTTGTACACATACAACACACACACACACACACACACACACACACACCCCTACTCCTTTTATATCCCACTATCATTTTTATAACCAGAGACTCCTGTGTGTTTTGCTCGTCCTTTCTCTTCCTGCCTCAGGACATTTGTCTGCATGTGTTATACTTCTCCAATTTCTAAAGAGTGTCCCAGGCAGAGTGCTTCCCTCAGCCCCTAGTACAAACCAGGAACGTGTGGCAGTAAGCTAGCATGTAGCTGCAATTTTAATGCACTATGAGAAAGGAGCTCACATCAAATTTTTCAGTCACCATTATCATTGCTAATATCACTGGCTGCATCTTGCTGCAACAGATGTCAATAGCTATGGATGATGAAAAGCCCCCACGTGTAAATGTCTTCCTTCTCTTTGTGTTCCAGAGCTTCATAGAAACCTTGCCATCACTGTCAGGATTCCCTGGCCAGGATCTTTTTGGAATTTGGAGTAAGGTTTATGACCCTTTATATTGTGAGGTAAAAGAACTTATCAAAAATTCATTTGCAATCTAATTTTGTGATTTGCCGTGTATATTGAGTCAGATACGTTCATTCATCTTCTTTCTCTTTTTAAAAATGTGCTGCTTATATGGCCTTTGATATTGGAACATAACTCAGAATGTCCTTATGCAAGCTTGAAAATCTGTACTCCTCTTTTCTCCTTATTATTTATGTTTCTACCCTTTAGAAAATTGCAAACAAAATTGCTTTTCTTCAAAACATTGCCACTCATTTATTCTGCAGTCACATTGGAATGCCAGCTTCCTGTCACTGGTTTTAATGAAAGAAAGCAATGTTGTTATATATAAAAAGAGAAGAAAATTGCCAGGTTTCTGGATATTAAAATAAGTCAGACAACTGTAAGCCAGGCTGTCAGCCATGGCTTCTGAGGAAAGAATTCCCCTGCGTGGTGTGATGGAAATCATCTTTGTAGCCAGATAATGCTTTTCGTTCACTGGGCTCCATCTTCTGGCCAAAGGGAGTAGTTTTTACTCCTGTATCTAAGAGCAATATTCTGACCTCTGCGTGCCTCATGTACACGTCTGACATGGAGGTCATGAGTGTGAGGGGCAAGTGTTGCCTTCCTAGTTCTGTCTCAAAGAGATAACACAGTTTACCCATCTCCAGGTCACCTGGCCATGCTGTCTCCCATATTTTCTCTTTATCTTCAGCATTTGTTTAAGGCCTCTCATCTTAGTCCTGGTGGCAGTTCCTTCTTCCTCCTCCTTCTTTCTCTTGTTCCCTCTTCTTTCTCCTCCTCCTCCTCCTCCTTTTCTTCTCTACACTTTTGCCTTTTGCTTGTTATGGAGATGAAGGCCAGGACACAGTCATACGATCCCCAAACCTTATCACTGAGTCTCACCCCAGAAACTTCATATGGTTTGCCCTGAGCTGTTCTTTACTAATGCTGTTACCTGGTGTCGTTGTCACATCCCTTGCGTCCTCCTCCTGCATCCCTTTACTTCACTCTGCTCTTCTGATAGCCTCCTCTTCTTCCTCTCCTCCCCGTCTTCTTCCCCCTGCCTTCTCTCACCTCTGAAACTAGGGGGGAATCCTAATAAACTCTTCCTAATAGGTGATAAACATCTGTACAAGGTCTGTATCTTCTCTACTTGCAGCTTCGTCATACATTTAGCAACCGTTTACCAGTACTAACTGTGCATGAGGTACAGATGTTCCCCCAGACAGTGAGCAAGAAGTTCACTGTCAACCTGTGAAGACTCCAGGAATACATGGATTTTTATACCTAGCTTCATCAGAAAGTCCTGATTTTCAGAAGCATCACCTAACCCCACCTAGCTCCTTTTGCCCTTGTCCTAGCAACAGACCACAGGGGAATGCCACTTACTGCCTTGCTCCCCTGACTCCCACTCGGCCAGCTTTCTTATATAAGCCAAGACCACCTGCTGGTGTGGTTCTGCACACAGTGGGCTGACCCCTCTGGTATCAATTACCAATTAAGAAAATGTCCCACAGACCTGCCTAAGGCCAACCCGATGGGGGCGATTTCTCAATGGAGAGTCCCTCTTCCCAGGTGACTCTAGTTTGTGTCTAGCTGACAAAAACTAACTAGTACCGTCTCCCTTCAAAACAATATCCTTAAACCTTTCAAAAAGGAGTGAGGTACACCCTTGCCCTGTGGCATCATTTCCTGTAAAATCTAAATTATACATTGACCCAGAGTTAAGCTTAAAGGTATGGGCTTGTAGGGAAAAACAAATTATTTTATTTAGATCTTCTATCTGGAAACCATGGCTAGTTCTCATAAATTCTTGGAGAGAAAAGGCAGGATCAGCAAGGCTGCTTGGTCCTAGTTGTTCTTACAGAATGAAGAGGAAACGGAAATCAGCAAAGGAAGCCATAAATCACAACTGTGCATACATTTCCCTCCTTCTCCTTTTCTGCAGAGTATTCACAATTTCACCTTGCCCTCCTGGGCCACCAAGGACGCCATGACTAAGTTAAGAGAGTTATCGGAATTATCTCTGCTATCACTTTATGGAATTCACAAGCAAAAAGAGAAATCCAGACTCCAGGGTGGTGAGTATTTTTTTATATATAATGAGGGAAAATGTTGGCTTTGTGCTTGGACAGTCTGGATCTGAGTTCCAGTCCTGTTACCACCCACTGAGTGACTTACAGGGGTCACTTTGTCATCTTGCAGTTTCTGTTCTGCAAAGTGGCTGTAAGAAGAAGAACACTGTGCCAGAGACAGTGAATACTAAAATGAACATACACTTAGGAGGCTTAGAATCAACAGGAACTGTCCATAAACAATGCATTGCCATAAGAGACTGAGGTTGCCCACTTTGGTTATACATTTTTACTTCTGGAAATGAGAATTTGGGACTAGAGCCAAATGGTCCTTTTCATTTCCTCCAGATGTAATGATTAAGGATTTATATGTGGGTTCCAGGAGTATAGGTTGTGTCTGGTAGCTGCTGGGATGCACTACAAGTGTGAAGTTTGGCAAACGTTTGATATGTCTTCCCAATATTTGACAAATACTGCAATTGGCAAGTTTACATGACTTCTTCACTGGTACTGAAAGATACCAAGATATTTATCAGTGACCCACTTCACAGTTAGAATTGGCACTTTGTAGTCTTTGACACCCTCCCATCATGAAGGCAAAGCCAGAAAGCACCCCACTTTAATTAGGATAGGGAAATAGAAGAAAGAAACCAGGATGGGATAGATACTGGGGCCTGCAAGGAGATCAATGTGAGCAGGGCAAAACGTGACATAGGAAGAGTCAGGTTCAGACGTGGCTAATATAGTCATTAACATTGAGGGGAAACAAGAGAGGGCCCAACTATGCTTACAGTTGACACAGTGAAGGAAGTTTGTCCATCTGACATGCTCTAAATGTCTGAGGAAGTAATATAATTATATCAGGATTTTAGCCACTAGCAGATGCTCCCACTTGATCAAGACAAGTCACTTAGAGAATGCACAGAGGCAGAGAGCTCTGGGAACCAGACCAGACTGGGAGGAACTGGACCGGCCCAGCAACTGGATAACTAGATAAAGCACTTAAATCATTTGGCCAGAAGAGGAGGCAACTGCAGATAGAAAAGTAGGGCTGTACGGGTGTACGGGAGCTGCCACCAAAACAGTGAACAAGGTATGAAATCGGCTGCTCAGGAGCAAACTTGCATGAGACCAATAAGGTGGGTCGGGGCTGACGATTTAGGGCGACGGTCATTAAGAATCTAAGGGTGTTACTTAGCTGCTGCAGCAGAAGTTCTGGTTGTGCGGCACAGAGGCAGACCTAAACGAAATGCCCAAGTCTTCCCACCACGCTAACAGCAAAAGCAGCAAGCTCCAGCCATCTAGGAAAAAGCAGTGCATCGCATTAGAAAGAAGTCTTAGATGGAACCCGGCGTACTGGGAAATTTCCCGAGCAGGATAGACTGGGAGTGGAAGCATGGAAGAAGCCCCCCCCCACCGTGTGCTTGTTTCACAGTGAAGGATGCAGAGGACATCAGGGTCCATCCAAGCAACAGGCCTCATTTGTGGTCCAGCAGGCACCAACAGGATATTCTGTCCCAAGCCCCACCAGAAAGTCAATGTGGTTGGGGCTTGTTCCCCCAGCCACATCAATAATGGGCCCAGGATTGCAGTGTTCAGAATGCAGCCGGAAGCATCAGCATCCCCCAGCAGTGGCTAGGGGACTCTCAGACCCTGCCCAGTACCTACAGAGTAAAAACCCGCAGTTTAATGAAATCCCAATGTGCTTTATATCAGAAGTCTAATGCTAGTTGTAGGGACTTGTTGATATGAATAGAAATGGGGTTCATCCTAGCGTTTTACTCTTCCTACTTCATCCCCCCTTTGGCCTCCAGAGGATTGCATGAAAGGGGAAGAGACTTCCTCTCTGAGGGTATGGGTTCTCGATTTGAAGAGAGGATTAAACTAGATTTAGTACAGAGTGGTCCTTCCCTAAGAAGATGTCTGGTTTTGGATTATAAAGGCTGACTTCATGTGAATCCACTGACCTGTTTTCTGGGAAAAATCCAATGCCCTTGACCAGCTAGAAAACTGTGTCATGCATGGGTCTTCAGCTGTTGTTTGAGTGTTGTTGTTTTTTGAGGATAGGATCTCACTGTGCATGCCCAGCTTCCTGCATGGTTTTGACAAAACACTCTCTCAGCCTGTTGTTCCGACCAGCCATGTGGTGACTGAGTGACAAAACAGCTGGACACAGTCCTACATAGAAAGCATCCATTGCCTCCATGACACAGCAGCACAAGAGCACCTGGATGGCAGCCAGCATTGCCTAGCCATTGCTGGAACTTTGGTTTTGCACTTTGTTTGGTGGATGGCAGTGCTTAGCAATATGTACCCACACATACCCCCAAGTCCCTACGTCTAGTTCAGGAACATTTGTCTACTCTTGCCATAGACTAGGGACTGGCAAATTACTGCCTGTAGGCTGAACTCAGTCCTACACCTGATTTTGTAAATGAATTTCCGATTATGTTCCATTTAACCAGCTTTGAATGAAATTTGTATACAATATTACTCTGTTCCTACATTTCCTCCATTTTTTCTTCCTTGTATTTGCTCTTTCCTTCTCCTACTTGGCAAGATCTGGCTTTCTGTTCAGGATTGCTTTGAGGCCTTTGTATCTTTTAGCCTGGTGCTAAGCACCACACTGGAGTGAATGCCATGTGGACAGTTGTGCTGTTCACCTTTCCCCAATGCACTGAATGGATTCCTTCCTGAAAACCTGTCATGCTGTGTCAGCCTCCTGAACTTTATAGCATCCTTGTACAAGACGAACATCATTGTCTTTTCTGATAGACATAGGTGAGACATGGCTCTTCTGGCTAGCCCTCTGGAAAGAAGGGAAGTCAGTGTTCCTCTGAATGAAAGAGACACTTTGAAGTCAGCAGTCACAGAAGATTGGTAGCTGATGTTCCAGCAATGGCAATGAAGGCTTTATTGAAACAGCTACACCCATGTATTCTCTTCTGCCTATAGTTACTTCCTTGATACCACTATTAGGTTGAGTAGTAGCAACAGACCTGTGCCTCACAGAATCTAAAATATTTACTGTCTGGCGTTATACAGAAAAAATAAGTTTGCTAGTCTTTGCTGTATGTAGCTCAGGAGTCAAAGAAGTAGATTTTATGTCTACTAATCAATGATGTTTTGTCTGATTTATATGGATTTAGTAAAAATAATGACAATCCTAGAAGTGAGCATCATGCTTCAGTATGGTCTTCACCAGCTTCAAAGCCCAGCCTTTCTGCTTACAAACTATGTAACATTGGACATGTTGCTGAGTCTTGCCAAGCCTCATTTCCCCACATATACAACAGTATGTTAGAATTCCAGGGCCTACCATCTGGGTACTTATGATAATAAGACTAAGAGAAGAACTGCCCCACAAATAAAGGGGGTACTATATTCATTGCCAGGACTGCATCCTGCAATGAAGACCCTTGCTGACTGATGACTATATTCATTGCCAGGACTGCATCCTGCAATGAAGACCCTTGCTGACTGAGGACTATATTCATTGCCAGGGCTGCAGCCTGCCAGAAGACCCCTACCAACTGAGGACAGCTTGCTCCTTACAGATAGTTCTTAGAATTCTTAGGAACTTAGTAACTGAGTTTAGGATTGATATAGCATGAAGAACAAGATGAAATCCCCCAAGTATCTTATGGGACGGCCTTCCTTGGAACAGAGGCATAGATCTGTTCAAGGTACAGCATCCAGTTTCTTCCACTCACAGCTAGGAAATCCCAGCATCCACATAAAAAAGAGGTCACCTGTCTCCACTTATCAGCTCACAATTCTTTTTTTCTTGTTTTTTATTTAAATTAGAAACAAGGTTGCTTCACATGTCAATCCCAGCTCCCTCTCTCTCCGAGCCTCCTCCCATGCCCTCCCACCAACCCCTCATCCCCCTCCCCCAATCCCTGCTCCTTTCCCCAGGGAGGGTGAGGCCCTCCAGGGGGGTATCCATAGTCTGTCATTTCATCCAGGGCAGGGCCTAGGCCCTCTCCCAAGAGTCCAGGCTGAGAGAGCATCTCTCATTGTGGGATGGGCACCCAAAGTCCATTTGTATGCCAGTGATAAATACTGACCTACTACCCAAGGCCCCATAGATTGCCTAGGCTCCTCACTGACACCCACATTCGGGAGGTCTAGATCAGTTCCATGCTGGATTCCCATCCATCAGTCTGAGGTTCAAGAGCTCCCCCTTGTTTAGGTCAGCTGTTTCTGTAGATTAAACAAGCCCAGTCTTGACCACTATGCTCATCAGTCCTCCCTCTCTGTCACTGGGTTCCTTGAATTCAGCTCAGTGTTTAGCTGTGGCTGTCTGCTTACATCAGTCATTGGTTGAAGGTTCTGTTTCCCAGACTCTCTGGCAGTGGGATTATAGGCTGGCACTCCCCTGATCCATGTCTAAAATCCATATATGAGTGAGTACATACCATGTTTGTCTTTTTGTAACTGGGTTACCTCACTCAGGATGGTTTCTTCTAGTGCCATCCATTTGCCTGCAAATTTCAAGATTTCATTGTTTTTTTTTCCCTGCTGCATAGTACTCCATTGTGTAAATGTACCACATTTTCTCTATCCACTTTTCAGTTGAGGGGCATCTAGGTTGCTTCCAAGTTCTGGCTATTACAAATAATGCTGCTATGAACAATAAGCAGATGTCCTTATTGTATGAGAGTACATCTTTTGGGTGTACACCTAAGGGTGGAATTGCTGGATCTTGTGGTATACTGAATCCCATTTTCCTGAGGAATCTCCATACTGATTTCCACAGTGGCTGTACAAATTGGCACTTCCACCAGCAGTGGAGGAGTGTTCCCCTTTCTCCACATCTTCTCCAACATAATCTGTCATTGGTATTTTTTATTTTAGCCATTCTGAGAGGAGTAAGATGGTATCTCAGAGCTGTTTTGATTTGCATTTCCCTGATGGCTAGGAACATTGAGCACTTTCTTAAGTGCCTCTCAGCCATTTTAGACTCCGCTATTAAGAATTCTCTATTTAATTTTGTACCCCACTTCTTAATTGGATCTTTTGGTATTTTGGAGACTTGCTTCTTGAGTTCTTTGTAAATTTTAAAAATCAGCCCTCTGAGGGCTGGAGAGATGGCTCAGAGGTTAAGAGCACTGGTTGCTCTTCCAGAGGTCTTGAGTTCAATTCCCAGCAACTACATGATGGCTCACAACCATCCATAATAAATCTTTTTTTAAAAAAAGATCAGCCCTCTGTCAGATGTGGGGTTAATGAGTATCTTTTCCCATTCTGTGGGCTGCCTTTTTGTCTTGTTGACTGTGTCCTTTGTCTTACAGAAGCTTCTCAGTTTCAGGAGATTCCATGTATTAATTGTTGACTTCAGAGTCTGTACTACTGGTGTTATGTTCAGGAAGCTCAGCCCACAATTCTGGATGTAACTATTTCACTAGTTTTGGGGGTCAGGGGTTATGTCTGGTTCACTTAGCATTGTTCCTGGCCTATTATAACTACTTGGTGTACATTTATGAATGTACTACATATTCTGAGATTATGTTGCCTTCAGTTTTTCTCATTACCAATAATATATATCACCACCACTCGTTCCTGAGCGAGATCATATAAAATGACAGGGGTACAAGAACTCAACTCTCTTGAGACTCTTCAATAGAGAAGGTTGTTGGGGTGTTTCTGGGGCAGTATGTCATCAAAATAGACTCTGGAATTGCTAGGTACCCCACCCCAGCTTTCAGTGTCTATAGATGGAATGGAGATGGCAATTGTTTGCCTACCTCGCTCAGTTCCTCAGAAGGAAGAGTACAAATTTTTGATACAAAGGAAATGAAGATCAGCTCTGCAAATGGCATACAGAAATGCCATGTGAAAACTAATGATGCTGGCCCCATGTACACACACACACACATACACACACACACACACACACACACGCGCGCGCGCGCATGCATGCATGCACGCACCTTGGGTATGCTGAAGAAATGTGCACAGGAAGCAGTCAATGGTCTGAGTAAACATATGGAGAGTTTCTTTCCCCATGGCCTCCCACAGAGGTACTACCAGAGAGTAGAAGCCAGACATGATGATTCAAATATCTTCCATGTCATCATCTCAGGTCACCTTTGGAAAAGATCATTGTCTAACAATGAACTGTATGGTCTGAAAAGCATGGTAACTTCCAAGTCTATTAGCCTCCTAACTTGAGCTTTAATGAAAGCTGGGATAGGAGAGGGCTCAGGAGCCCATTCAACTCTCCTCTCCAACCTGTGTAAGTCATATATGTCTCTGAGTTTCAGCTTCCACAATCATACTAAATCATACTGCTTGGCATGCAGCAGATTATGAGACAAAATTGGGTTTTTGCCTAGTTTGTTCACTCAAAACAGATAGAACTCTCAGTTGTAATTAGACAAAGTGCCCACAGACCATTATATAATCCTAGTTTGCTTTAACTCTGCTGTTGATCTTGTCTCCTTTAAGGTGTCCTGATCAATGAAATCCTCAAGAACATGAGGACTGCAACTCAACCACAGAAGTACAGAAAATTTGTCATGTACTCTGCAGTAAGTACTTCAGTATTCATTTAGTACAGACATGTTCAATGTATGATCTCCTCATCTTCATGTCTCCATCACCCAGAGAATGGTAGAAATCTGCACACAGCTTCTAGAATTAAATACATCATTTCACCCTTGAGGAACTTACAATGCAATATGAATACCGACATCAAGACAGGGATACACACCAGAAAATGTAACATGAAATCCACTAGAAGCAAATGCCTTCATGCCTCCAAAGAGGCAACCAGCCATCCTTCCGTGCTAGGTCATGGGAAAAAGATGTATCGGACATCCGGAAGCAGGCAGCCCACTGAGTCATTAAGAGAAAAGGTGTAGTAAATGATTCCTCACTGGTGTGTAGGGCTCATGAAGAGAACTGTTAAAACAGTGAACAGCTAGAAACATTTTTGTGAAGACTCTGGTATTGAATTATCAGATAACTGGCCTACTTGATATAGAACCTGTTTACATTTAAATCTGTTGTAATTACATATAACAAAACCGCAGGCTGGGTAGGATAGTCCATTCATGTAATCTCAGCATTTACCTGGAGGGCTGGCTCAGGAAGACTGCTGTGAGTCCAAGGCAAATCGGAACTGCATAGAACAGTGGTTCTCAAACTGTGGGTTGTGACCCCTTTGGCAGTTGATGACCCTTTCACAGGGGTCACTTATCAGTTATCCTGCATATCAGATATCTACATTATGATTCATAACAGTAGCAAAATTATGGTTACAAAGTAATAATGAAATAATGTTATGGTTTGAGGTCACCACAACATGAGGAACTGTATTAAAGGGTTGTAGCATTAGGCAAATAGAAAACCACTGACACAGAGAGTCCCAAGCTAGTCTGGGCTATATAATGAAACTCTGACTCCAAAGGGGTTGGGTGAGAGAAGAGGATAAGGAAGAAAGAAAAGGAGGAAGCAAAGGAAGACAGCTTAAGGGTCTCAATTGCACTGTTCACATTTATGCAGTTCATGCAGCCATGCAGCCATGCAACCATGCAGCCACACAGCCAGCATCTTCTGGACTGGACACCATAGACACAGAGCCTTCTTACCATCACATTTTGTTAGGCAATCTTCACACAATGCAGACTATCTGAGCTAGAAGGTTCTGAAAGGACATGTTGTCCTACATGCCTGTTGTGGTAATGCATGAAAAGCCCCCCAAAGGTGTTCACTCAGGGAAGACAGGACTGGGAGGGTAAAACATGGGCATCACTCCAGGAATGAATCATCCTGTAGATGACCGGAAGCTGGGAACGGGATATAGTATAGAAGACTGGTGTATATTGAAGGGGGTGGGGGTGCAACAGGACAGTAAAGGGTTAGCTTAGTTATGAGGAAAGCTATGCTTTGGCTGGAGAAAGGGAAAAGAGAGATTGAAGGCATGGGAGGGGAATTATTACCAGCATGTACTCCAAATGGAAAAGACTAGAGAAACAGCCCATGGAGGAAGATAAGGGAAGTGCTTCTAAGAGAAGTGGGTCTGGGATTAGACAATACTGTCAATTTCTTAAAGTTTCTAAATAAGGTTCTAGTCCTGACTTGTTTGAATTCTAAAAAGCCTTAGCTTTAAATAGATTGCTTCTAACTCCTTTTAAATATGTGTGCATGACCATACAGCTTAGGTATCCAGATGTTTGCAACAAATGGGGGGGGGGAGAGAGAGAGAGAGAGGGAGAGAGAGGGAGAGAGAGAGAGAGGGGGGGGAGAGAGAGGGGGGAGATCCCCAATATTAGGGATTGAACATAGGGATTTGTGAACTCTACTAACTGAGGTCAAGCCCCAGGCAAATGTTCTCCCATTTTATACATATGGAAGATTAGACAGCTCACCCATGCCAAGAGTGGGACTAAAAATCACTCTAAGGTAAAGAGCTACTGCATTTGGGCAGTGGTGGCACACACCTTTAATCCCAGCACTCAGGAGGCAGAAGCAGGCAGATCTCTGGGAGTTCAAGGCCAGCCTGGTCTACAGAGTGAGTTCCAGGACAGCCAGGACTGCATTAATCATCTAATATTTTAATCTTTAACTCTCTACTTCCTTACATCTCTAACCTCCCTAAACACCCTTAGTATCAGATACTTTTCTATAACTTTAAAAATAAAATCAATGATGTTGCAAATCTGTGGGAAATGTAACAGCATTCATGTGTTCCAGACTTTTTAAATGTATTAAAGACCAGTAGAGCATGCAGAAAGGAAAGAGGCGCCCCACAGGCATGGGATTAAAATCAGAAGATTTGTTTCACATTTCTCCTATGTATGACGATATGAAATTAAGCAAGGTGCCTAATTTCTCTGGATATCAATTTCTTTGTCTTTCAAATGAAAATAATATATGAGTAAATCTTACTGCCCAGACACGCAAGAGAAACTCATTCTTCCCCCTTCTTACATATAAGTCATTGAGAGCATGGAGGAATCAGGAACCACCATCGTAGCCCACACTTGCTAAAGTTTGCTATGTGTGACTCTGAATCAGAAGTCAGCAGCAAAATGATTTGTTTCTAATCTCCGTAGCACGACACTACTGTGAGTGGCCTGCAGATGGCACTAGATGTTTACAATGGAATTCTCCCTCCCTATGCGGCTTGCCACATAATGGAATTGTACCATGAAGAGGGGTGAGTGTCTGCTTTGATATTATTAGTTTGGGTTCGTTTGTTTGTGTTTGAGACAGTGTCCTATTAAGTAGCCTAGAAGCCCTGTAACTCGTAAGTACAGATCAGACTGTCTAAAACTTATAGGTTTTTTTATTAACCCTTTAAGAATTTCATACATGAATTCATGTATTTTGAACACCTCCATCCTCCCCGAACTACTCCTGGATCCTCCCCCACTCACCCTCACCTCCACACACACTTTCCCAACTTCATGCCTTCTATATGTTACTCTACTAAGTCCAATTTGTGATGCCCATACATTCATGGGCTTGGGACTATCCACTGGAGAATGCTCAACCTACCAGGCCCCTCTAAAGTAAACTAACTATTCTACTGTCCATCAACCCTCTATAGCTCCTCAGCTGGTAGACTCTTTCTTAGCTTGTTTGTTTAGACATCATTTCATTATATAGCTGGGGTCAGTCTTAAACCCAATTTGTAGCACAAGCTGGTCTTGATCCTCCTCCTACCTCTGCCTTCAAAGTGCTAGAGTTACAGGAATGTGTTACTATGCCAGCCTGCTATTATTTTGTTGCTATTGGATTAAGGCACATTGTGTCAGTCTACACTCTTTGGTTTTATACTTAGAGGGAAGGACTAGAGATAACATGACTTTTGGCTCTTTCAATTCCGTGAGCCTTTTATTGGAAAATAATGTACACACAGTAGATAGATTGAAAGAACCACCCAAAATGAAGGAAGTGGCTTTTTAATGAAGGCAATAGAGAGAGAAGGCAGACATTTGGGGAAAAAACTGCCTGGTACAAGATGCTAAGAGGGAAATGAAGATGCTTGATGTGTATGTAAAATGTGTTAAAATTAAACAGTCCAACCTGTCACACAGCTCCCGGTGACTCATCTCCACCATCCAATAGTCTTAAAGTACAGCTGCTGAGCAGTATTTACCCACTTATGGCCTGCTGTGACTCTCTACTGATGACCTGCCTGACCCCCGAAGGGAAAAAGCACAAAGAAAAGTTAGGATAGAGATTCCAAATGTCCTAGTTTACCTGGAACTGAGGGCCTTCGGGAACAAAGAGTTTCACTTTTCAAATGGGGAAAATCAGAAAAAGATGGTTACTATAGACAAATATATGAGTTACTCTCCTTTGCTTTGATGAAATACCATGACCAAGGCAACTTAGAGGAGGAAGGGCTTATTGAGTGCTTACAGTTCCAGGGAACTAAGAGCCCATCACTGTCACGGCAGGGAGCATCGTAGCAGACAGTCAGGCATGGCCCTGGAGCAGCAGCTGACCAGCTCACGTCTTAGTCCACAAACAGGAAGCAGAGAGCTAGTTCTTAAAATGGCACAAGTATCTCCCTGGAGCAATGGGCAGATGTTGAGCACTTGTTAAAAATCTGTTGAAATTACTATGAGTGTTAATGATATGCTCTTTAACTTCTCATTGTAAGCATTCCTTGTGATGTTCATTTTCCAATAGCTAAATATGTTGAGGGACGGGGCATTTTTAACTCCCTAATTGGCAACTGTTGCACTCTCCCTTACTACCCTGGCAGTCTTGAGCAAAAATGACTATCAAACAGTTAACTTGCTAGATTACCAGTATGCCAGCGTCAGACATTTTGAACATTCTATGAATGCCCTGAAGGACACCAGCTCCTGAGGTGCAGTGCCAGCAAAGACTGTTTCACATGGTTTATAGCAGAGAATTTGCTAACACAAGGCTTGGTGAACTCTAGACAATTTTGCAACCATTTCAAACTAGGCAAAATGTAGAGCACTTCCCTGATGTCACAGCAGAGTGGCTGTTGTAACTGGTACTAACAGGCAAAACTAACTGATGAAACATAAACTCCCATTTTTACATGAGGTGTGTGTTCTGATTGGCACAAATCCAAGCCTTTGTTTGTATGTGAGATATGTTCTGATGAGTCCATGTACCTTTCTTTTTGTGGTATGTTTGCAGGTTGTTCAGAGTCTCTTAGCAGGGAGACACTGTAAGGAAGGCTAACATCACTAAGACTTCATTCTCAACCAATACCTTCACTACTTACAAAGAGAGTAGGTCCTGCGTGGTCAGGAGAAGGTAGACACTCTCTTTCTTGAACCTCTAACTAAGCACCAGGCATGAAAAAGTGGAACTGAAATGTCTACTTAGCTACTCTTGCTTTCAAAAAACTCACGTCAATGAAGAGAAGAGACCAAAGTAGAAACCAGCAAACCGATCAGAGCCTGGCAATAAACAAGAAATGCTCTCTCAATAGCACAAAAGTTTGAAGGCCAGCTCTGGGCACACACAGAGATCCAGCTAAAATCCTGGCATCAGCTCTAGGAGTATGATGTCTCTTCCGGGATGAGAGCATTTGTTCATGTTCCCTAGTCCTCATGCCTCTCTGGTGTCTGCACCACAGTCCTGAGCTTGTTTTATTAGGGTACACAGTACTAAACTTGCTTTGAGGTGTGCATTCCTAAACTTGCTTTATTGGGGTATGCAGTCAAACTTTATTGGGGTGCTGTAGTGGGTTCTCACTGAATCACTTTCTTTCACAACCTTAATCAAATCCCTGGTATCAACCAAGTCTAGAGTTCTTTTCCACCAGGAGAATTGAACACTCACAAACTTTATCAGAGGGTCACACGCACATCTCCACATGGTGGTTATACTGGGATATCTTTATCTGGACTTCCGGAAGATTCAAAGTTTATACTTGAATGCTCACTTTTAAGTTAGAACAAACAAACAAAAAAGAGCATATACCGCTCTTACAGAAGATCTGAGTTTGGTTCTCAGCACCCATATCAGGCAGCCCACAACTGCCTGTAATCCCAGCTCCAGGAGATCTGAACCCTCTTTCCTCCATGGGTACCCACAAAACACGTGGCATACACTCACAGGCACACACACATATAAAAATAAAATGTCTTTAAAAATAGTAGATCCTCATTCCTACTCAAAGTCATACCCAGCTCTGGTCGTCACTCTCCATGCCACGTTTATCTAACAAAGCAGCGTTCCCAAGTCCACTGATATTCAGGGAAACATTACAGAAAGGTGGAAAGAAATTCACAGGGCAACTTGGCATTGCAGAACTAACAGCTCAGTCCTCTGCCTGTTGCACCAGGAGACACTTTGTGGAGATGTACTATCGGAATGAGACCCAGCACGAGCCCTACCCACTCACGCTGCCGGGCTGTACCCACAGCTGCCCTCTGGAGGAGTTTGCAGAGCTACTGGATCCTGTGATCCCCCAGGACTGGTCCACGGAGTGCATGGGCACAAACAATCACCAAGGTACTAAGGGCATTTGGGGTTAGTGAGCTCACGGAGCTCAGCAGGAAGTGCAGGGTACTTTTTCAAGCAACTGGGTTTTCTAGAAAGTTCTTTCGCCATTATGCCCAGCTTGGAAGGAAATGAGTTTGGATTGATGACTATATATTTTAGCAACCTCTCACTTCGAGCAACTCCTACCTCTGTTATTTAGCCTTAATTCTTAACTTGGTTGGTCTTTCTTTCAGTGTTGCTGTAAAAGAAAACCAGTTTCCAGTATAATCAGGAATGAGTTAGGTCAAAGTTGTGGGGCTACCATGGGCACTGAGATTAGCCCAAAGAACTCTATTGTTGAAGGACTCCCAGGTTTTGCTTGAGCAGGATGGAATAAGGCTTCATTGAAAATGTCTGAAGTAAAACAGGTTTCAAACAAAGCCCAGGAATTACTGTACAAGCAAGAAAAAGAAGCCGCTAACACGAGCTAATGGACAACGGACTAATGTACCCCCATAACAGTGCTCAAGGAAAGGCGAAGTGGAGAGACCGGAGAGACACCTGGAGGAGCTTTCCATACCCGGCCTAGCACGATCAGATTTTACATGTATGTTAAGAACACATTGAGCAGCAGAACTGAAAAGTAAAAACCTCTTTGTATCCATTCATGCTCCTTTCAAAGAAAGTAAAAGCCAAGCTTTCCAGAAAACTCCATATATGGTGTCCATACAGCAGCTCCTGCAAGGCACTTTGTAGCTAATAAATAACCTGACAAGAGAAGAATTCAGAAACAGCACCTCAGGGGTGAGAGCGCTCCACCAAGCACCTCTGGAAACTCCAGTGTTAAGAGATGCAGAATCTAGAAGCTGATTTATAAGAGGAGATATGAGGACACACACCGCACGCACACATGCACAACCCCGCCACTGAAACAAAATGAAAATGTTCTAGATGCCTCCAAGTCCAAAACTTATTGGAACATTGAATGTGGTTACAAAATCTGCTCCAGAGGACAAAAAGAATGTTCTAGGCTTTGATTCTGGCAACTTCAGCAGCCCTAGTGATGTTCCTGGTCCATTGCCATGGCTCACTATGCAAGAAGCTGTACCTGGATGAAGCCGTTTAGAGCCTTGATTGACCATGCAGCAAAACAGAGCTTTATTTCCAAGATGGAAAAAGATGAGATGGCTTCAGGAGGTGGCCTCCACTGGAGGTCAGAACCTACATCATGGCCATCCTCTCCCCAGTTGGTTATGGAATGAATGACCCAAGACATGGGTTGATAAGCTTCTTTGTGTTACTTTCCCCACACACACACATAAACATGTGCTGTTGGGGCCATGCAGCAACTACACTTGTGAATGTCTTCTAGCTGTGAGGAAGATGAAGAGTGGCGAAGAAAGTCATTATCATTATGAAGTCCAAAGGAACTACTTTTATAATGAACTTTGAAAAGCTTGTGTGTGTACATTTCATTAGAATACAATTCCTGCAGTCAGACATAAGGGCTCTCTTTATCTGTGAAGGAGTGTTCTAATTTAACAGGAGTGACTTTATTAATATAAAATTATTCAACTGACTTTAATTAACTTTTACATTAAAAAACATAGTTTGAATTACTTTATATAAAGGGTAAGCAGTGGATAACTAGCTCTACCTCATCTACTCAAGATAGAATTTAGCAAGAAAACATCCTTGGAAAGTTTACAATGTGTTATAGAAGTGATATATCCTACTCAGAACAAGGGTGTGTTTTGCAACTGTGTGGGTTATGGTGGGAACAAAAATTATAGGCTACAAGAAATACAACATATCAGTTCCATAAAGCAAGAATTTTATCTGTTATGTCCTCAGTAGCTCGGGAAGCTGGTAGGGGCCATTGTTTGGTGCTCAATAAATATTTTCTCACTGGTGTACGATTAGTTATCTTTCCTCCTGAGCCCCTTCTTATCTTGATTAGACACAGTACCTGGCAGCCAGGGAGTCATGTTTACCCACTCTGTACTTTATAACCCAGTCAGTTTGGCTCCTCTTGTTAAACCTATCTGCTGTGTGTTTGCAGAATTTCCCTCTCAAAACAGCTCCCTTGGCAATTCCATACTCAAGGGAAGAGTGATACGACTAAGCAGCAGAGTTTCTCAACCAGAAGAAAATGCAGTGGCTGCCTGCTGCAGCATCCCACGCAGAGGGTGTGAAATGTGTGTCTCCTCTTCCTGGCACACACTTCCACAACTTCTCTTGGAAGTTAGTCATAGCTGCCTATCACAGAGATCAGCAAATGTCAGAAACCAAAGGGTTGTTTCAGATCCAGGTTGCCAGCACCCTGTTGATTTTTTTGTTTGTTTGTTTGGTTGTTTGGTTGATTTTGGTTTTTTTGAGACAGGATTTCTTTGGAGGTTTGTAGACCATGCTGGTCTTGAACTCATAGAGATCCTCCTGCCTCTGCCTCCCGAGTGCTGGGATTAAAGGGGTGTGCCACCACCGCCCAGCCACCCTGTTGATTTTAACTAGCAGAAAGCTTATTAGGAGTCTGCTACAAGACAGCCTCCAATAAAAAAAAAACTTTATATTTGAACTCCCTAAGGAAAAAGGACTAGACTACACTATTCAAGAAAGTCTCAACAAGTAATGCTAGAGATGGCAGGCAAAAGTTGAGATATCCCTGATATAGGAAATGACCACTGCATTGGGCGACCACTTGCCTTAGCATAGGTACTATAAAGCACAAGCTAAGCAAGGAAGGTGGTAAGGGTTGAGTGACGTTTTAATGGGACCACCAAATTTAGTACATAATTTAGCAAATAAAAAGTATAGGAATCCAAGATCAATTTGACAAATAGGTCCAACAACTGAATTACGATCTTGGGGGTAGGGAGTCAGGGGTCAAGGGGTGGAATACAGAACATAGGTTCTGAGAAAGCTAATACCTAAACCAAGACAAAAATTATATTTAAGTATGTCATATGTATGAGGTACTGGCAACCCTGCAATTGACGTTTACAGACTGAATAATTGGTTGGCTCTCCAGATTCAACCTGACTTCCTCATGGAATTCTAAGTTAGTTTATCAGGATTAGGGAAGAGAAGGTACGAATGAGTCTCAAAGGGAATTGCTTTGTAAAGACCCAGTCACTGGCTACATTTGCAAACCCACATGCCAACTGATCTGTGTCACTTTAGCATCTGTTTTTAGCATAGTCCTAGAGAAGAGCCCTTGCTCTGCCAGGCGGTGGTGGCACACATCTTTAATCCCAGCACTTGGGAGACAGAGGCAGGCAGATCTGGTGAATTCGAGGACAGACTGGTCTGCAGAGAAACTCTGTCTCGAAAAACAAAAACAAAACAAAACAAAAAAACAACTTCAAGAAGCATGCTTGGCTAACGTGTAAGACCCAGGGTTCAACTCTCAGTACTGAAAGATGGAAGGGTAAAGAGAGAAGGGGGTGTCTTCTCTGGGTGGTTTAGTTTGCTGTTGTTTTGTTTGTTCTCTCAAGCCCCTGGTCAGGTTTCTTTTGGATAGATTCCTTCCACCAACCCCTTAAATAATCACACCTCAAAATCCCATAGCTGCTCTCCTCATTCCATGCTCACCATGAGCCTGTCTCCTACATCTCAAACCCCTACTGCCACATCTAAATGAAGAAGTATAGCCTGTTTTTTCCACATACCTCTCAGCCATGTCTATCCACAAAAGAGATCACCTCAATCCCACTTGAAAATAAAGTCCATTTCCTCCTCTAGTCTGTCCCAGTCCTTCTCTGGGATGTTTATCCCCAGTCACAGCACAAAATCATGAGACCATCTCAGCCACATATTCCCCTTGATCAGTGTGATTACTCTGTCACCAACACTTTTCAACTCAACCACAGGGCTGACCAGTATTCTAGATCCCTCATCTGTATCCCCCACATCCACAACTCTAGTTCTGAGCCTCAGGTATCTGGCCTGAGATAGTCCAGTGGCTCCCACCAAACCTACCATGTCTCCACCATCATGACATCACCTAAACGCAGACCAGAGCTCATCCTCCAGAGCATTACAGTTGCTGATCATTTCCAGGTGCTTCAGAACAAGGCTAAACCAGAAACCTAAAAACTGGGCCCCAAGGTACATTTCGAGTCTTACCCCACCCCAATTCCCATGCTCTACTCAGTGAGTCCCAAATATACCCTGTGCATCAGTTTCTGTCTCAAGTGAAATCCTATTCCTCTTACAGGGCATCTCAAATATCACAAGCTTTCCAATTTTTCCCTTTTTGCAAATTCAATATACTTTGTAGGTTGCTATTTTCTCTGTTCAAAAGGTGTCAGTGACACCTCCATTTCATTGTGTGTCATGCTATCATATAGCTGTCTATCTGGTTCTCCTACCACATGTTGGGTTGTTACGAGCACTCTTTCCTGCCAGCCTGGTCCCAAAGCTGCATCGCCCCAAATGAACACACAGATGCTATATTAATTATGAAACTGTTGGCCAGTGGCTTGGGCTTCTTATTGGCTAGCTCTGTCTTAATTATTATCACATAACTACTAATGTAGGTATTTCTACATGGTCTTATCTTACCAGGGAATGCCTGACTCACGTCCTCTCTTCCCGGGCTCACATGTCAACTCCTCTCTGCCTATACTTTCTGGAATTCTCCTCCTCTGGCAGCTCCACCTATCCTTCCTTCCTGGCCATTAGCCACACAGTGCTTTATTCATTAACCAATAAGAGAAATATATGTACAGAAAGGCAACCCCCATCATTGGGTTTCTCAGGAGCAGAGGTTATGGGGTCTCAGCACCTCCCATATTCTATCTGGTACAGGATATGTGTTCACTGAAGGAAAGTGTGGGGACACTTATTCCATGGGACTGCTACAATAGCATAGCCAAAGTTAATGGGTTAATTAAAAAATAAATTTCTAAATTCAGAAAACTAAGCATGAAAATAGATTTACTTTTCAGGAACTCACTATTATAGCCCAGGCTGATCAGAAGCTTAAAGTCCTTCTATTTCAGCATACTAAATGGTAGAATTATAGACATGTGTCACCATTCCCAGCCTCATAAAAATCGATATTTTTCTGAGACAAGATATACATATAGATATATAGATGTGCAAATCATTAGTATCTGTCTCTCTTCCTTATTCCCATCTAGTCTTTTCTTTCCTTCAATTCCATTTGGTTGTCTACAACTTTGTTTTAGCTCCATCTACAGTTCTAATAAACTGTCTGTTAGGCTCTAACTTTCCTAAAATTAGATTTTTCATGGCACTAAGCAGCATCCTGATCATGAAAAAAATACTGGACTAAAAGTTGACAGTTTATGAGCCATCATTTTTGGTGGATGTGGGGGGGCTGTTTTGTGTTTGACACATGTTTTCATGTATCTCAGGCTGAGATGGAAGGATGTCCTTGAGGCTTCTGACCCTCCTGTCCTAGCCTCCTGGGGCATGAGATTGTGGGTGCATCTCTACTCCCACCCAATTTATGCAATACTGGGAATCAAACCTAGGCCTTTAATCATGCTAAGCAAGCACTCTTCCAACTGAGCCACACCCTTAGCCCTTGGGTCACTGATTTTTAGTATTAATATTTATTAACACCTATGGCCCAGGTGCTGATCTATGATCCATAAATACAAACTTCTTGTGTCCTGAAATGGATAGTCAATTAGAAGAAACAAGAGACAAATGATAAATGCGATAAGTATTTTGAAAGATTCAGATCACAAGTGCCTGTTGGTGGAAATGAGTGGAGGATGGTTTATGAACAGAACTTTGAAATGGGAAGACTTCATTGAAAAGATGAGACTTAAGCAAAGACAGTAAAAGAGTAACCCATCTGGGATCTGTAGAAAGAGTATTCCTGCAATGCTGAAAGCTGAAGCAATAGCACCAAGCAGGGATGCTGAGGGGTGTTTGAAGAAAAGCTGGAAGGACGGTGTGGCTGGAAGAGCGTCGTCACTGGGACCGGGGCTTCCAGTCTGATGGACCTGAGCATCCACAGCAGACTTCACCTGTGTGTTTGTAAGCATTTGACGGCAGTGTTTAAAAGAGATTGTGAAGCAAGAACAGAAGCTGGAGATGGGCCAAGAAGACACTTCAGTGGTCCTGGTAAATGCAGCTAGCTCAAAGCAAGGTGGTGGCAGAGATGGGACGAGCCATTGGTTTCTGGATTTTTTTTCCCTAGTAGAGCCAACAGGCTTTCCTGACAGATCAGGTGTAGGGTATTTGGAAAATAAAGGATCCACAGAAGACTCATTTTCCCTCCTAAGTCAAAGGAGTTTTCATCATCTAAGGAAAGGGTAGCTATGAGAAAAACAGATATGTGGGGAGAAGGCTTAGCTTCACTTTTGAACTTAAGGGATCTGAAGCCCCTGTTCTCCAAGAGCCTAAGTGCTGAGATCTCAGCAGATGTCTGAATAGCAGAGAGCACTCAACCTGCACATACAACCTTTTCCCTATACATATACGCCCATGCTAAAGTTCAGTTTATAAACCAGGCATCATTAGAGATGAATAAGAACAACTATAACAAAATGCAACAGGGCTGAAGATGCAGCTCAACTAGTAGAACACCACCTGCCTAGCACACTGAGGTCCTACGGTGAGTCCGCAGGACCACATAAAATCCAACGTGATAATGCACTCCTATAATCTCAGAACTTAAAAGGTGGAGGCAGGAGAAATCAAGGTGTTCCTTGGCTACACAGCCAGTATCTAGCTGCCTGGACTATATGATATCTGGTCTCAAAATTAAAACAAAAATAGAACAATTTTATAAATATACTACAATGGAGGGCCTATAAATGTGCGCTCTCTCTCTCTCTCTCTCTTTCTCTCTTGTATATTTTCACCCTTTTCTCAAAGAAAATACATTACAGCTCCTGTCCATGAATCCAATTAATTAATATAAAGCCATGAAAACTGCCTGGAACCAAGATGCTACGGTGTGATTAGTGGTAGGCAGACTATACAGCATAGACTTAATAGACAAAGGATGACTTATACCATATTCCAGGTGGTATGGAATGGGACAGTGTAAGATATCATCATGCTTCTCAGAGAGGTGCACCATTTAAAACTTAGAGATTACTTATTTCTGGAATTTTCCACTTAATATATTCATACAATGGTTGACTAGCACGGGTAACTAGCATTACAGAAAGTGCATCCATAGATAAGGGAGACTACTGCACACCAAGTACATATTGCATGTGAGTCAAGCTTAAACAATAAACTGTAGCTGCAGGTGGAAGTTGTTAGTGAACAGATGGATTTGAAATCGTGCGACTGATAAGATCCCGTATTTCTAGGACAGTAAAATTATCTGCTGAGCCTTAACCAAATGATCTGCTTCTTCCTTTCCTCCCTTTGCAACAAGATTAGGCTCAATCAGTGATTTTCATCTGTGTTCTTGGAACGCTGCTGTTCTATAGATGAGACACCAGGACCAGAAATGTTTGCTTCCTGTTGCCTAAGCCAATAAGTCACCCCATGTTTGTACAGTTAAAAGGTGTGTGTCTGGGTGTGGTGGTGAATACATTTAGTGCAGAATTCTGGAGGCAGAGGCAGGCAGAACTCTGAATTCAAGGCCAGGACAAGTTCCAGGACATCCAGGGTTACACAGAAAAATCCTGTCTTAAACAACAATAACAACAAAGATGTGCACGGATGTAGTGTGATGTTTTACTCTTTTGACTTTTTGGCTCTTTTGGAGAGGCCCACCACTCAGCTCCCAAATAAATCCCTCACGGAGGCTTATTCTTAGTTATGAATGCCTGGCCTTAGTTTGGCTTGCTTCTTGCCAGCCTTTCTTAAATTAATGTGACTACCCTTTGCCTCTGGGCTTTTTCCTTTTACTTCTGTAACCTTACTTTCCCTCTTACTCTGTGGCTGACTGTGTAGCTGGGTGGCTGGTCCCTGACATCCTCCTCTCCTCGTTCTCTTGCTCCTCTTTGTCCTCCTTTCTCCTTCTATTTATTCTTTTTCCTCCTCTCTGCCGGCCAGCCCCGCCTATCCTTACTCCTGCCTCCATACTGGCCGTTTAGCTCTTTATTAGACCATCAGGTGTTTCAGGAAGACAAGGAATCACAGCTTCACAGAGTTAAACAAATGCAGCATCAACAAAAGTCACACAGGTTAAAATAATATTCTACCGCACACTGAGAGCTGGGACAAGCTGGCAGAGTGACATGTCTGCTATGGCGAACAACTGTGGAGGGAAGAGAAACTTCCTAATGCATTCGTTTCCCATCTGGAATGCGACCTGTGTATCTCCCCACGGCCGCTCACCATCATCCATCAAGAGACCTTTCTCAGTAATTACAGATTCACACTACTCTATGCTTATGAAAGATTGCTCCCCAAACTCAACCTCTGCTCAGTTTCTCCATATAACATGGTTTTTGAAAAATCAATTTAAAAAGATGGAATGACTCCACTTCTTTTAGTCAAAAAATCCTCTGAACTTCTGAGTATAATTTAACCATGCTTTTAAAAAATGCATGAAATTCACTGGGGAAGCTCAGACAATAGGATTGCAAGTTTGAGCCGAGTCCACGAGGGAGAGGAGGGAAGAGAGGAGGAGGAGGGAGGGAGGAATGAAGGGAAGGAGGGGGCAGAAGTTAGTATTGTGAGGACCTTGGATACTTCGGCCAGTCACCCTCCCCTCGAAGTGGAGAGTTGAAGCCAAATGTCAAAGGTCATGCTGAAACTAGAACTGAGGTCCCCTCCTGACTCCGGGTTCTGTGCTCTACCCAGCGCACCGCACTGAATCCAGACTGCTTTGGGAATTCCTCTAGAACGTACAATCTAGGCAGGAAGGCAAGACGTAATGGCACACACCTGTAATCCCAGTACTTGGGAGGCTGAGGCAGGCGGATCAGTTCAAGCTAGCTCATCCTTGCCTAGCAAGCACAAGGCCCCTTGAGCTCTGTGAGACCCTGTCTTACAAAGCAAAAAAGCAGAAGGACAAAGAAGGCAAAAGTTATGAAAACTATATTGCTGTACATGAAATAAAGCATCTTTTTAAGTTTTAAATTAAGGCAAAAAAAAGATATATGATATTCATATGCTTTTTAGGTTTTGGGGTGGTGTTGTGATCTTCACATGTTAATTTCACATTGGTGTATTTCTTGTTTTTGCAGTCCTGAGGGTCATTCTTGCCATTACCTTTTGCCTGGTATCTGGTATCCTAGTGATACTGCTGTTGGCCCTCATCCGCCACGGGCCCTGCTGGCAGAGAGACGTGTATCGGAACATCTGAAGAGACGGCTAGACCTCCAGGGACAACATCTCTCAGTGAAGCAGCACCTTCTGCCATACGGGCATTGCTCTGCGCACACCCTCCCGTTAGAACCTGCCTAGGGTTGTGTGAGCTCGCTGCCACGGGGCAGAGTACAAGTTAGGTAGGCCTTGTGACCACTGAGCTGCACTGTGGGCTGCTCACAGGGCTGCCTCGGGACTCCTCTGCAAGAGCCCTTCTGCTCGTCTCTGTTCTCTCACACAGAGGTCCTGAGAGAAACAAGAAGCCAAATTCCAATCCATCTGGTGCTTACAAAGAGGAACAGGAGAGAAAGTGGGGCCAAGACATAGGCTAGACCACACTAGGTAACGCAGAGTGTTAGACCAGAAGTAGAGGAAAATGGCTTTACTTAGTAATCCCCCCCCCCCTCTCTCTCTCTCTCTCTCTCTCTCTCTCTCTCTCTCTCTCTCTCTCTCTCTCTCTCTCTCTCTCTCTCTCTCCTTCCCTCTGCCCCTCGCCCTCTCTCTCTGAAAAGCAATTCAAACCCTCCTACCTGTACATCTGACACACACATACATATATCCATATTCAAAATATCTTTAGGTGAGGCATTTGACTCTCAGAAACTGTAATGTCATTCGCTTTAAGCGTAGCTCCAGTCATTTTCTCCCAGTTTCCACACAGAGAAATAACCGGAAAACCCTTAAATTCATTTCTTCCCACTCTCACTGCCTGATTTTTATACAGTGTGCGTTACCTTCACTTTACAATTATGGTCTCTTACACGGATAATAGCTGTTCATGACCAGCACAAAATGATACTTTTTTATTTACTTATTTTTTGGCATGGTGCTAGACTGCAACCCCCTGGGCTTTGTGCACACTAGGCGAACCCTTTACTAATGAACTGTGCCTTCAGCCTTCTCCAACTTTTCTAATTGTCAACATAGAAAGGAAAGTACACAGGGCAGGGGGCGGGGTGGGGGGACAGAATGACAGCCTGCTGGCTTTGGGCCTTAAATTTTGTTTCCTAATCTAAAATGGAAGAGTCTTCACAAGATGAATGTAGAAGTCACATCTAGATTTTATTTTCTGTGAACAATTTTATTCCACTTTCACTACATGTAAGTCATGGCCCAATCAAGCACCTCCACGGCTGGCACCACCCATGAAGTCATTAGGGAAAAGACTAAAATTTACTTTATATAATTGCATTCTGCTCTGGACACACAAGCATTCAGTTGGTGATAAATTTGATCTTGCTCCTCAGTCGGTTGCTTTACTTCCTTGGGGTTGCCTAAAGACCTCAAAGTGTATCTGGTTGGAGGTGGGGAGGTCAGAGAAGGGTCTTTGTCCTCTGTCCTCACTGCCCACGATCCATGAGCTTTTCTGAAGATAGGCAGAAACATTCGGGTTGTGGCTTCCAAGGCCATACTCAGAATTCACTGTCTGGATGTCTCTATGGGATGCTGGGGCCTTTGACAGCCAGCACAGATCTCTGTCTGCTCTCCACTGAGATCCCCACCCATCCCTAGAGACTCATGGTGCCCCTGCAAAACACCAAGCACTCACCTCTATAGTCTGTACTTTTAATATCTCAGTGAGCCAAAGCCACTAAAAACAAAACTCAAAGAGCACGCTCACTCTCTCTCTCTCTCTCTCTCTCTCTCTCTCTCTCTCTCTCTCTCTCTCTCTCTCTCTCTCTCTCTTCCTCCCTCCCTGATGTGTGTGCATGGGCATTTATGATCATAGAGTAAGCATGTGGTTTGTACACACATGTATGTGCTGCTTCCCATGCTTGCTCAGAGGACAAAGGAGGGTGTCACATGTCCTTTTCTATTATTCTCCTCCTTATTACTTTAAGACAGGATTTCCCAGTGAACCTGGAGCTATTCTGGAATCCAGCAAGCCCCAGTGATCCTTCTGGCTTGTCCCCCACAGCACTGGGCTTAAAGGAACACACAGGCCACACTCAGCTTTTTACATAGGTGCTTGGATTCATGTTCTCACACTTGTATAGCAAGGGCTCTTACCCACTGACCCAGCTGCCCAATCCCTAGTATCTACCATTCTCTTGATTACTGCACAGAAAGCTCTCAGGCTCAATGTCACTGTCTCCTTTACCTTCTTCTCTTGGCAAATACTACAGCCGTTTTTCATACAACAAGCAGAAGAAAGAATCGCAAGTGACAAAGGATCCATAGGAATTAAGCAAAGGGCACAAGTGAGCTGAAGGGTCTCTCAGAAAATAAACTAATAATGCAACTTCAACAACAGGGAATGGGAACTCCCAATACTGATAATTGCCTGGCAGACGGGACAGATGTGACCGTTCTAGTTGCCATGACGATATTGTTGACGATATTGTCACTAGAGCTGGGATCACCTCTGTTCTGATGTGTGTTCCTTTTCACTTGAGGGGCCTTTGTGTAGAATTTACACAAAGAAATCATTATCATATTGATAATAATCACATAAAAATGCCAGTGATAAGTATACAGGAAAGCACTGAGAGACACCAGTGGATTATCTTTAGTTTTATGGCATAGTACTATTAAGGGAATATAATTGTGAAAAAATACTAGTGCTTGGCTGGGCGGTGGTGGCCCACGCCTTTAATCCCAGCACTCGGGAGGCAGAGGCAGGCGGATCTCTGTGAGTTCGAGGCCGGGCTGGACCGATAGCCTCCAAAACAATACAGAGAAACCCTGTCTTGTAAAAACCAAAAAAAAACATGTAAAACAAGCTATTTAAAATTAAAAAAAAAAACTAACGAAAAAAAAAAACCAAAAAAAAAAAAAGAAATGACTTCAACATTTAAATGGCATTCACTCAACAGTTTTTTGTCCTAAAACTGGCATTTCTTCCCTGAATTTACTTGTATTTCCTATCTTCTCAACTCCTTTTTCTATCTCATTCTAATATTGTTAGCACTGACTCCTTACAACGAGAGAGGCTTTCTGGGTAAATGGAAGTTATAATTTAACTGTTTTCTGTTTTAAAACTCCCTACAAAAATTTACCGAGCAATAATTCACACGCGAAATGTTGGTGCCTTGGATCAGGGCTCAGAGACACACACAGCCACACATGTGGTCTTAAATGTTCTACAGCCACGTCTGTAAAGGTTAACTTTTTTAATGAAATGAATTCTAATATAAAATGCATTTAACACAATTCATATGAAATACCATTACAACAGGTAATTGATATTCAAAAGGTGTCCGTGGAATATTTCAAAGGCATTCTTCACAATAAGTATTGAAAATCTGATGTGACTTACGTTTTTCTCTTCCACCACCTCCCCAGTTGGAGTAGCCACCTTTGAAGCCTCAGGAGTGGCTAGTGGTTCCCACGCTGGCCATTACATGACAGCCTGTTTCAAGCAGAGAAAACACATTCTTTATTTGTAAAATACACTTTTGGTTATTGTGACAAGACAGACATTATCGGGCTCACTGAAGAAGTGCTTGCCTACCAAAGGCAAACTGAGTTCCACCCCAGGACTGCATGAAGTGAAATAAAACAAATAGAGCAAGTCATTTTTATCCTGTGTCTTCGTTGCTTTTACCTTTGGCCAAACTGATAGTTGTCCAAAATGCTTTATTTTTATTTCTTTTTATTTCAAGACAGGGTCTCTCTGTGCAGCTTTGGCTGGCCTGGAACTCTCTTGGTAGACCATGCTGGTCTTGAATTTACAGAGATCCAGCCTCTGCCTCCTGAGTGCTGGTTAAAGGCATGCATACCACCACCTGGCTGATATGCTTTTTATTAAAAGCTACCTTAAAGACCTCTTCTAGCCAGGCATTGGTGACACATGCCTTTAATCTCAACACTCTGGAGGCAGAGACAGGCGGAGATCTGTGAGTTCCAGGCCAACCTGGTCTACCAAGAGAGTTCCAGGACAGCCTCCAAAACAATACAGACAAACCCTGTCTCGAAAACAACAACAACAAAAAGACTCTTTCTTCTAACTTATCCCATAATGAATGGATTAATTCTGCTTCTTGTTGAATGTCTTAAGAAGAAAACCAGAAGCAGAGGTAGAGGGGATGCTTTTTAAAGGTAAAATGGTTCCAAGAACAAAGAGCAATGACTTGTCGATATATCCAGTCATTCGCAAGTCATGATTTACCACGAAATTCACTTTATGACCAAATGAACAGAGACAGGTTTACCATGATAAATTCTGAAGCCAAACACATGTTATATGTACATATCTTGGTTTTTCCAAACAGGTTTCTCTGTGTAGCCTGGCTGTCCTGGAACTCCCTGTGTAAACTGGAGAAAGGGAGCCAAGCACTAGTGTGCATCCTTAGTCTCTCCCTGATGGAACGGGCTACTGCAAGCTTTTGCCACCTCGACTACCCTGGCATGGTGGCCTTTACTCTTGTGCTGTGAGCCATCACTCACTCTTCGTCACTTAGGTGACTTTTCTCAGAGGACTGCATCACAGCAACAGGAAAAGGAATGAAGAGAAAAGGAGTCAGAGCTTTTCCCTGTACATTCTTGCTTTTGCAAGACTGGATTGAATACCGTGATGATGGGTTATTATAAAGAAAGTCTCTCTCTCTTCCTGTCTCTCTAGGTTTTTCTCTCTCTACGTTCCTCTATGTCTCTGTCTGTCTGTCTGTCTGTCTGTCTGTCTGTCGTGCTCTTCTACATCTCCCAGCTCCCCCACCAGAGGCCCTCCCTAAAGCAGACACTGGCACCATGCTCTTCAATTTCAGAACTGTAAACAAAATATAGTCTTCATAAATTGTTCTGCCTTAGGTATTTTGTAATAGCAACACAAAAACAAACATAAGAAACTCACATGAAGAACAGAAGAGAATAAGGTAGCTAAGCCAAATGCCTGCACTGACATCCCAGCTTGGACTTTTATGAGCCATATGCTGTTAGGATAGTCACTTAAATCTTCTAAGTCTCCTTCTCTGTAAATTGCAGACAATACTGGTTCCTATTCAAAGTATTATGAGGAATAAATGAGTTATTACTTACGAATGCTAGGAATGGCCCTGGGCCCTACCTAGTAGCAATATATTATTATTAAAGTAATAAGATTTTATTAAATATTCAGCAGACCATGTCAGGAATTTATCACTGTCTGGCAAAAACCTTATCATTCTGGATTTTATTGTTAAACAAACATGAGATGTGATTTTTCACTAGCTCTCTATACACTCTCAATAGTGGGTTTCAATCTTATCCCACATCTTAAAGTGACAACCATTATTAAAATGATGGAGTTTCTCTTAGAGAAGCAGCAGGGACACCAGAGATCTCATTAAAACAGTTGTTGTGATTGAGGATGTTTCTGAGCAAGCAGAACATTGCCTTAAAGAGTCAGTGGATTCCAGCAAGAAGTCAACTGCCACCAGAAACTTCAAATAAAGTTCATTAAAGTGTGAAGACAATCTACAGAGGAGTTGCATCAAGTCAGCTCCACTTTAATGAGAGGGCAGATGTAGCAAGAATCAAAGCCATGGCTGGCTGTATAAAGATCTGTTATCTTGCTAAGGATAAAAAGGAATTATTTCAAACAGACTAAGAATGAAAGCTGGTGGTAGGAATCTCTTTTTTTACTTCCTTTACTGTTTTGATACATATCAACTTCTTTCTTATAATACGGGAGGCACAAATTTCACTGGTCTTGAGGCTGAAGAAATCAGAGAGGCTTCAGAAACGATGACTCCAAGCCGGGCCTGGCCATTCGGTAAGGGCAGGAGGGAAGTAGGCTTTCCAGGATGGAAGACAGGCATTGTGTCTCCCACTAGCCAGCAAGAAAACCACCAAAGGCCTTTCTTCCCAGTCATGTGGGCTCATCCTTTCTGCCTCCTGCACAGATCTCTCCCTGGCCTCTTGGGGTTCAGGTCAGGGAGGTAAAGACCACTTTACCATCTTCCCCACTCAGATGACACTTGGATTGAGTATATAGAATGTTGCTAGGTTTACAGTGGTTCAGGTCAGAACACTGAGATTGTGGCATGTAGGGTTTCCATTGAGAAATTGTATCCTCTCTCCTTTGTACGACTGTCTTTGCCTCCATTTGTAGTAGATCTAGAAGAATAAGATGCAGGCTGGACAGCTGGCTCAGGGCTCATGACCAGACAGACACATGTTGGGGGGGGGGAGTAAATTTCAGAAGTATGGATAAATGTGTATGAAAATTAGCATATGGTAAAGATGGTTTTGCAATTAAAAAATGAAAAAAAAAAACTGGAGTTGAGCCCCAGGAGATGGATGTGTATTTAAAAGGAATGAGCCTGAACCTACACCAAAAATAGCTCTCTAAGGGGAATCATATGAGTCTATTGTTTAAAAAAAAGTATATATTTGTATTTTCGAATAAAGTTGTATATAGAAAACAAAACAAAGACTATTAAGGAACTCAAGTGACTGAGAGTTTTGAGCCAGATACGAAACATGGGAAGTGGGAAAGGTTTTGGGAGGTGACACAGAGAAAGGAGGAGAGACAAAGCCATCAGACGCTCTTGTGAGCTTAAGTGGCGTCTGGGCATGAATGAGCCAACAAACTGGAGGAGTGCAGGGCTTTCTCAGTAACTTTAATCTTAGCCTTTGTTTGCCCGGGTTTCTGTTTAACAGCTCTGGCTGTCCTGGAACTCTCTCTGTAAACCAGACTGACCTCGAACTCGCAGAGATCTGCCTGTCTCTGCCTCCCAAGTGCTAAGATTACAGGTGTGTGCCAACGCCGCTTAGCTTCTTAGCTTAGCTTTTTTTTTTTTTTAAAGACAGGCTCTCAGTTTGTAGTCTTGGTAAGCCTAGAACTCACTGTATAGACCAGGCTGGACTTGAACTCACATAAATTGGCCTGCCTCTGCCTTTTTGAGTGCTTTGATTAAAGGTGTGCAACATCATACCTGACTATTTTAGACTTTGACTTCTATAAAGAGAGGTGGAGCTTTTCTTTTTGTTCTGCTTGCCTGATCCCAATTAATCACACAAAAGCTCATATTAATTATAAAATGCTCATCCTATAATTCAGGCTTATTGCTAACTAGCTCTTACAACTTAAATGACCCATTTTTATTAATCTACATTTTGCACGGGGCTTCACGGCTTTACTTGTTCTTTAGCATCTTGCTTCAATGGCAGCTGCTTGCATCTCCCCTGACTCTGCCCTTCTCTGTATTTTCAGTTTTTGCTTTCCCTGCCTGGCCTTAATCGGCCTTGCTACAGGCCAAAGCAGCTTCCTTATTAACCAATGAGAGCAATACATATTCACAATGTACAGAAAGATTATCCACAGCAACGGATCACACTCCTGATTACAAAGCATAATCCGGCATAGCTATTAGTATTGAATTCAATCAAGAATGATATCTTGAATAATTATCTATAAGGCCACCAGCAGTCTACAGGAAAAGTGCCAGAACTGAGGAGTGTAAGGGACTGAGGTCCAATTACTGACATCCCCAGAGAGGCCAAGAGATTGTGGGGACTTGACAGTCAGTCCTAACCTTATTGCCTGCTCTATCCCAATCAATTAGTGACACTTGCCCCAGAGAACTCAGACCTGTGTAATAATTTACATGTAACTCCCCTAAGATGGCTAAGGAACGATGATATGATACCAGGCATCCCTTAAGGGCCATTGATCTTTGCCCTGGAATGCCTGTGAGACCCTAGTAGTCTGCAGGTGAGATAAGGAGAGGATAATGGTGTTCCTGCTGTGAGATAGGTAGCCATTTGCTTTCTGCTTCTGTAAACTTGCTTATCATTGTGGGACTGGGATGAAATGGTCTTTTTCTTACTATGCAACAGGAATGGAGAAACAACTGAGAAGAGTAGAACGACTTTCTTGCCCAGCCATGGATGCAGTTATCCTTAGATAACTGTGATGTCCACCTTTGATGTCCACCTTCCCTTGGTCCCTTCAGTACCACATGCTGTTGGGCTCTGAGGCCGCCATCCTTCTGCTAGCGGTAAGAAAAAATCCATTTAATCTAAATTTGAATTGAGTCTGAGTCTTTGGTCTTTCTCAGTGGATTCGAATGCCAAGAGATGACACAGAGGAGTCAGCCCAGCTATTCCCACAGCAGACTGGCTGGGAGCAGAGCAGGGATGAGGACCTGGGTTTGCAAAGGTGGGCTGGTTAGGGTGTCAGAGTGGGACTTTAACTGTAGATTTCAAGTTTCCAGATGGTGTAGTTTGAACATGAAAGGCCCCTGTGAGCTTGTGTGTTTCAATATTTGGTGCCCAGCTAGTATGGCTGTTTGGGAAGGTCATGAAAACATGCAGAGGACAGTCTCCCAGAGCAAAGTGAATCACAGAAGCTGATCTTTGAGGTTTAATAGCTCACCCAACTTCTTGACTGCTCTGTTTCTTGTTCCAGAGTGCTGGTTAGATTTTTGTCAGCCTGACACAAATTAGGGTCAGCTAGGAAGAGGGAACCTCAATAGAGAATATGCCCTGTAGGCAAGCCTCTTGCAAGCCTGTGGGGCATTTTCTTGATTAATGATTGATATGGGAGGCCCCAGCACACTCTGGGCAGCTGGTCCTGGGAGGTTTGAGAAGGTGTCTCACCTTGAACCTGAGGAGCAAGCCAGTAAACAGTGTTCCTCCTTGGACCCTGCTCCAGTCCCTCTTACCTCCAGTTTCCTGCTTGAGTTCCTGTTCTGACCCCCCCTCTGAGATGAACTGTGACCTAGAAGTATAAGCCAAATAAGCCCTTTCTTCTCACAGGTTGCTTTTGGTCATAACATTTAACAGAGCAACAGAAACCTAACGCATCCATCAAGATTTGGGGACATCAGGATTCTAACTGCTTACTGCCACCATGATTCCCTGCCATAATAGACTGTACCCTTAGCCTGTGAGCCAATATAAACCCTCCCATCCTTAGTTTTGTCAGACATTTTATCACAGTATGAAAAGTAATGGGTAGACCATCAGTTAGCATCTCTACTTACTTTCATAAGTGCAAGTGACAGTTCAGTAAGATGCCATAGGGAAAGGGCTCAGTGCACTGCTAGGTGGTATCATATTCAGTATAATTCACCTTGCTGTATACTCCTGAAAGCAAAGGAAAAACACACATGTGAGTAAGCTCATTCTCATTTTCAAGACGAGGTCATAGAAAATAGACCAAAGGATTTGAATTATGTCACTATTCTGTGATCGGTGATCCTTCTGAAACTGGTTCCTTATCCTCCACTGGATTTAGCTTGCTATGGGCAATAAAGTTGCATTTACGGGGGAAATAAAACACAACAACTCTCAAAATGCATACAAAGGGAAATTGTTTTTAGATTCACGAAGGCAACAGAAACCATGTCTTAACTAGAGTATATAAAATAGGGGGGCTTGAGTAATGTCAGAGAAAGATAACAATTGCCACAAGGCAGATGCAGTTGGAGTTTCATTGATCATCTTGATAAGCTTGGGAACTTACCAGGGAAAGAGCAAGTTATGTGGATTTTAGTAACTGTAGGTGAAATTTAGTTACAGGTTCAAGCCATGGAGATAAATGGGTTGGTGAAACACAAGCTGTACAGAATACTCATTATGTATCCATTAATTAAGTGGCTCATTATTACATTCATTTGTTAATTAAATTTTTGAAAAATTGCAATTACAGCTTTTCATCTTCATCTGGCAGACCAACTTGGGCCCCAGTGTACCTGATACAGATGAGCGCCAGTTCTCAGCTTCACTGCTAAGCTTTCAAACAGAAGGCTACATTTTCTGGCTGTACTGTGATTGGGCTTTTTACATTCTTTCCCCTTAGATGACTATCTTTTAAGTGGAAAAAGGTAGAGAACTGAGCAAAACTTTATGAGGAAAGGTAATTTGGCCCCAACCTCTCCACATCTCCCAAGACTTTTTTTTTCTTTGTTTTTTTTTTCAATTTTTTTTTATTTTAAATAGTTTGTTTTACATGTCAATCCCAGTTCCCTCTCCCTCCCCTCCTCCCGCACTCCCCTTTCCCCCCCACCCTCCCATCCTATTGCCAAATCCTTCCACATAGGGGATATCAGAGTCTGTCATTTTACTCTGGGTAGGGTCCAGGCACTCCCCTAAGAGTCCAGGCTGAGAGAGCATCCCTCTTTGTGCTATAGGCACACGAAGACTGTTTGTATATCAGGGATAGACACTGATCCACAGCTTAGGGCCCCATAGGTTGCCCAGGCCTTCTCGCTGACACTCACATTTGGGGGGTCCAAATCAGTCCCATGCTGGCCTCCCCACTGTCGGTCTGGGGTCCAAGAGCTCTCCCCTGTTCCGATCAGCTGTCTCTGCTGGTTTTGCCAGCCCATTCTTTGCCAATTTGCTCATCACTCCTCTCTCTCTGTCACTGTTTTTTTTTTTTTCTGAAGCAGGGTTTCTCTGTGGCTTTGGAGGCTGTCCTAGAACTAGCTCTTGTAGACCAAGCTGGTCTCGAACTCACAGACATTCATCTGCCTCTGCCTCCGGAGTGCTGGGATTAAAGGCGTGTGCCACCACCGCCTGGCCACCCAAGACTTTTTGAAGGGGACATTGTTATTAAGAAAACTACCTCAATGCTATTCCAATTTTAGCTTCAGGAAATTGGCTTTTCTTGCTTATTGTGTGCCTGTGAACTGTAACACACATGCTGATCCATGCATTTACCACCATAACAAGGCAGTTCTGTCAGCCACGAAAAGTCTCCTTCCTACCCTCCCTGTCCCCTGCCTGTGACTTCCAACAGCCACTCGTCTGTTCTCCATCTTTCATTTTTACTTTCAAGAAAGCCATCTAAAAGGAATCATATAGAATGTAACCTTGTGAGACTGACTTCTTTTTTTAAAGCTTTTTAATGAGAATATCATTCGATCATTTCCCCTTCTCTTTCTTCCTTCTGACTCTGCACGTGTCCCTGTATTTCTCCTTCTCAAATCCATGGTCTCTTTTTCCTTGTTATTGTTACATTACATATGCATAAATATAGAAATAAAGCCTGCTTGGTTTGTTTAGTGTTGCTTGTATGTACATGACTTTGGGGTTAACCACTCAGCATTGAATAATCAATTATGGGCACATTCCTGGAGAAGACTATTTCTCCCCCTCTCACACTAGGTTTGGTTGAAAAGCTATATAGGAATCATATTAATTTTTATTTACCTAAGATTACATTTAACACATATAATTGTAGTATGTACACATATACATACAGTTTTAATGAAGTTATGCCATTTGGGTTGACAATGCTCCCCTCCCCCACCCTCTAGAGCCATAGACTGTCTAACAAAACACCCAATACCAGGCATGAGAAACCCTTTGTGTTGATCAGGGGAGTCCATGAGACTCCTACAACAATATAAGATAGTGTTGACTTGGGTTGCCTCCCAGAGGATGAAGGCAAGTTCTATTGCTAAAGACACCATGCACTTTGGAGTTTGGCTCAGTGCTTAGCTGTAAATCTGTGCTTCTGCTTCCATCAGTTACTGGATGAAGGCTCTATGATGGCATTTAAGGTAGTTATCAATCTCATTATAGGATAAATTGTAGAGAGGGAGGAGTGATGAGCAAAGGGGTCAAGACTATGCTGGGGAAACCCACAGAGACAGCTGACCTGAGCAAGTGGGAGCTCACAGACTCCAGCTGACAGCTGGGGAACATGCAAAGACTGAATCAGACCCCTGAACATGGTGTCAGTTGGGGGGTTTGGGCAGTTCTATGGGGCTGCTGGCAGTGGAACCAGTATTTATCCCTAGTGCACAAATGGGTTTTGGGAGCCCATTCTCTATGGAGGGACTCTCTCTCAGTCTACATACACAGGGGAAGGCCTAGGCTCTGCCCCAAATGATGTGACAGGCTTTGATGATCCCCCATGGGAGGCTTCACCCTCCCCGGGGAGTGGATAGGGAGTGGGATAGGGGGATGGTGAGAGGAATAGGAGGATGGGAGGGAGAGGGAACTGGGATTGGTATGTAGAATAAGATTGTTTTTAACGTAAATAAAAATTAATTTTAAAAAAGCCCATGCAGACCTCAACCATCTATCTAAAAATTCAAACATGGACCCCAGTTCTGAAGAATTTAATGCATGGATGTGTTCATGATGCATTATCTACTAGTGAACAAATTCATGACAAAAAATAAAATGCCAAGCAAATCCATTGAGCTTACTGCTGAAGAACGATTCTTCTGAAGGAAGAGTCTTTGGCAGGCTCTCAGGATGGTTCCAGGGAAGGCACTGTTACAGCAGGAGATTACAGTTCTGTGTCAGCACTCCTGCAGACCTCCCAGCACAGCTGGGAGACAGTGAAAAGAATGAACCTGACTTAGTGCTGGCCTAATGTTTGTCTTAGTTTTTAACAAAAAAATTTTAAGTGTTAGGAAAAAGAAATTTAGATGTAGACAATTGTAGAATAAAGAAATAAAATATTTTATAGATTTATGGTGTTTTGTGTTTTAGGGTGTTATTACAAAGCTTCAAAGTATTAAAAGGAAATCAAATTAAAAACTTGCTGAGTGTGGGAGTGCAGGCCAATACTCCCAGCACACAGGAAGTGGAGGCAGAATTACAAGTGCAAGGCAGTCTGGGCTACGTAGCAAGACCCAGTTTGGTAGCAGGCTTTCTTGGACTGCCAGCCCCCAAATCATGGCATGGAAATTTATTATTAATTATGAATGCTCAGCTTTAGCTTTAGGCTTGTTTCTAACAGCACATCTTTACGTAGTTCAACAAATGCAACACATCTTTACATAGTTAAACAAATATTCTATTCTAAAACACTGTTCCGAAGAAATGACTAAACAAACAAGCGGCACAGCCTAAGTGTGGACTGTTCATTAGTCTATGGCAGTGTACAGTCATATCATAGACCTTCCCACTCTCTCACTGCTCACTCACCCGCTTATCCAGAGGGGCTCCTGTCCTGAAAGCAGGACAGGCTAACTGTACCATGCAAGTGCACCTCAGCATTTTTAAATCTTTCATACCACGTTCTACCGTGCCTTCTCTATGTTTAGATGCACAAGTATTTACCATTGCATGGCAGTTTGAGTACTATGGCTAGGCAGGTTTGTGGTTCAGGAGCAGTAGGCTATGCCACAAAGCCTCAGCATACAGGCTGAGTTTATGCAAATACAGCCTCGGTTACTCCCATGAGGATGAGGTCACCTAACGATGCACTTCCCATAATGCATCTCAGTCATCACATTAAATATTACTGGATCTCAGCGTTCACTGAAGTTTCATACACTAGTTTGTGGGTATGGTCTGCCACCTAATGTCCATAAGGGATCCTTGCATGTTTGCATTCATGAAAACTGGAAAAATAATTCAAAATGCAATAGGCTAGGTTTCTCTTTTCCTTTAACACAGTTTTCTTTTAATCTGTATCCCTCCGCCCCCACCACACACACAGTCCATCACTATGTGCCACAGTTGCCATGCCTCCCATGCCCCCCTGCAGTATGCCAAAGAAACCTGTTTTCCTCCTACTTTATCTAAAGGGTGAATTCTTTCACAACCCATCAAAATCCCCACAGTGGACTTTACATCTCTTTGTAAATACTCATGTTAAACAAAACTGGAACTGACTATTACACAGCAAGAATTTACCACTGTTTTGTGTGGAATACTATACTAACTAGGAGAAAAAGTAAGACAAAAGTCAGAATCCTTGGTGATGACAGATCGCTTTGAATATTCTTTCTATTCAAATACCCTTTTCTGTTTAAAGTGGGTTGTCCCTTTCTTCCTTAGGTCCTATTACTGGGACCAAAAGCAGCTCAGAGAGGAAAAAGTTCATTTCACCTCACAGCTTACAGGGATGGAGAGATGGCTCAGCTGTTTCTAAAGACTAGGCTCATAGCAGAAAAGTATTATCTTACATCTTACAGTCCACCATGAATGGACATCAGAGCAGGAACCAGGAAGCAGGAACTGAAGCAGAAGCCACACTTTTTGCTGGCTTGCTCTTCGTGACTGGTTCAGCCTGCTTTTTGTTGTTGGTTTGGTTTTTTTTTCGACAGGGTTTTACTGTTTAGCCCTGGCTGTCCTGGAACTCATTTTGTAGACCAGGTTGGCCTTGAACTCATAGAGATCCACCTGCTTCTGCCTCTCGAGTGCTGGAATTAAAGGAGTGAGCTGCCACCACCCGGCTTTTTTTTTAAGTCTGCTTTTTGCTAGCTCCTAGGACCACCTGCCCAGGGGACAGTATGACTCACAACAGGCTGCACCCTTCCACATCAATCACCAATTAAGAAAATGCTCACACAGGCTTGCCTACAGGCCAATCTAACAGAAGAATTTATTCCATGGAGAGTCCCTCTTCTCAGATGACAGCAGCTGTATCAAATGGACCAAAACAAACTAACTAGAACACCATGGCTTAATCTTGGATGGTTTTAATACAAATCTGTTGAGTAAGTGCACACATGTTTGATAATTTGTCTGATGTGAGACACAGGTTTATGCTACTGCTATTTGCAGGTTCTGGAAGCATCAGCTTCCAGAAGCATTTAGTAGGATATTGCTACACTCCTATAATACAGCCAAGCACAACCCATAAAACAGTATGTCCTGAAAGAGTGGTGGGACTTACTTCTTGGAAGGCCTTTTCCAGCAAATCAGCTCTGACGTGGGAACTGGAATGTTGCAGCATTAAGGTTACAAAACAGTTGACTGTTTTCTCCTGTAAATAAGATGGTTTATAAAGACACTAATAATAATAACATATAGGTATATGAAGGAGGGCCGGAAAAAAAGGGAATGGGACAGGGAAGAAGTGAAGAGCTTCAAGGAAAGTTAAAAGGCAATCATTCTATCCACCTACCTACTTGTGTACCTACCTATTTATCTACCTACCTACCTATCTACCTACTTACTTATCAATCTACCTATTCATTCATCCATCCATCCATCCATCCATCCATCCATCCAACCAACCATCATCTATTTGGATTTTCATTTTTATCTTTTTCTATCACAGATACTGGAGGTTCTTATTTGGGCTACTTAAGACAGAAAGTACAAGGAAAAGGTAGAAAACACACCCCTACCATTATACTCAGAGACTGAAATGTCAGCAAAAAATTTTTTTAATCCTTTCAACCAGGAAAGCCATTGTGGCACTACTCTCTGCTGGCCTAACAAAAATGAAACCAAGCTTTCACTGAAAAGACTCGTATTCTCTAGCCAAATGCTGAGTCAACAGCCCAGTTTCTGCAAGCACTCGCTTAATGACCACAGACAGCTTCTGTTCCAGGGGCAGACTGGATTACATGGAAGAAGAGACACAAAAGAAAGCAGGACCAGGCAGAAACTAAATGACTGCTTTGAAGGCTTGCTGTGCTCCCATCACATCAGGCAGCTCTACAAGGAACCGTTAGCTTTCTGCAAGGGTGTTTGGTACTTATTTCATGTCACCGAAAATTTTTGTCTTTGTAATAACCCCCACCTTTCCCATTCAACAGAGAACATAAGTCATTCTCAGTAGGTCCTTTTGTGATCTCTACTTCTCTGGGAATTATGACTTTTTCTTTATTTTTATTTTATGTCTGTGGATGTTTTGTTTGCATGTATGTAGGTGCACTACATGCATGTAGTGCCCACAGAGATTAGAAAAGGGTGCACATTAGATTCCCTGGGTCTGGTGTTAGGAGCCACCATGTGTGTAAAAGGAGTTCTAATTGGTCTAGATAATAAAAGGCTGGGGTAAGATATAGAGGGAAATACCGAGAGATCAGAGAGAAGGAGCAAGCCACAGCACACCTGACCTTCTAAGCATATCAGCAGAGAAGAGAGCAATTTCCTGTTTCTTCCTGATTATATCCTGTTTCTGCCCCAGCTACGTCACTTCCTGTCTGTCTGTACGGACCTCCAGACCTCTATGGTCAGCTAGTGGCAAGCTCCATTTTCTGACCCCCAGACAAGCTATATTTGTGCAAGAAAGATATCATCACATATGTGGGTGCTGGGAATTGTACCTGGGTCTTCTGGAGAGGAGCCAATGCTCTTTACCCCTGAGCCATGTCTATAGCCCCATGGTTTTTTTTAAAGACAAGGCTAGCCTAGAACCCATCATGAACTGCTTGTCTCAGCCTCCTGAGTGCTGGAATTACGGATTAAGGATGAGAGCTACTATACCAGGTAATTCATTGATTCTTATGCTGTGGAAACCTTACCTGAGAAGCACAACCTCGGATTCCAGAGGCTTGTGATGTTTTGGGGGAACCACATGGCTCATTTGGGTCCTTCAGGGGCAGGGCTGAAGGTTATCCCTCCATCAGAGATGCTTAGACTCAAGTGAGATGCCAGGGTTACAGAAGGGAGTGGTGTCAAAGTAATGATCTGTGATTAATGTCACAGGACACAGTATCAGTTACTTTCCAATCTGTGATACACCACCATGACCAAGGCAACCTGTCAAAGGAAGGGTTGATTTGGGCTTACGGTTTCTGCTGGATAAGAGTCCATCACCATCACTAGGAAGGTGCAGTCCTGGAACACCAAACAGAGAGCTCACATCTTGAACTGCAGCTAAGAAGGAGAGGGAGAGAGGGAGAAAGGGAGAGATGGGAGGGAGGGAAGGAGGGACGGAGGGAGGGACGGAGGGGGAGAGAGAGAGGAAGAGGGAGAGGGAGAGAGGGAGAGAGGGAGAGATGGGAGGGAGGGAAGGAGGGACGGAGGGAGGGACGGAGGGGGAGAGAGAGAGGAAGAGGGAGAGGGAGAGAGGGAGAGAGGGAGAGATGGGAGGGAGGGAAGGAGGGACGGAGGGAGGGACGGAGGGGGAGAGGGAGAGGGAGAGGGAGAGGGAGAGAGAGAGAGAGAGAGAGAGAGAGAGAGAGAGAGAGAGAGAGAGAGAGAGAGAGAGAGAGAGAGAGCGCACTGGGAATGGTCCTAGGCTTTGAAACCTCAAAGCCTGCCTCCAGTAAGACCATGCCTCCTTAACCTAACCAAATTCCCAGGGAGCATCTCCTGGGGAACCACTTAATCTAACATCTAAACCTATGGGGACATTTTCATTCAAACCACCACAGGCACTCAGCAGCCGAGCTGGGATTCCTTTGAGGACATTCAGCTTGACACTCCCTTCCATCTTGCTTGTGGCAATAGATTTGCCATCTTCCAGAAAATCTGCAATGAAGATTGCTCAAGTGCATGACAGAAGGCAGGCAGCAGAGGTGACTGCTTTCTGCTCTCGGTGGAAGCTACAAGGATCCGATGTTGGGGCAGCACAAGGCTGTGGAAACCAGTGGATCCTGAAGAATAGTAATGGATGGACTCCGAGAGCGCCCTTCAACTCTTCTGGTGGTTGAATGATTCTGAGTCAGGTTCCGTTGAGGTCAGGAATCATTGGCATGATAAACATCATGACCAAGAGCAACTTGGGGAGGGAAGGGTTTCTTTCCTCTCACACTTTACAGCTCACTGAGAGGAGCCAAGACAGGAACTCGAGGCAGGAACTGAAGCAGTGACCATGGAGGCGTGCTGCTCATTGGCTTATTCAGCTACCTTATGTAGCCCAAACCTGCCTGCTCAGGGGTGACGCCATCCACAGTGGGCTGTGTCTTCCTACATCAATCGACAACCAAGAAAATGCCCCACAAATATGCCTACAGGCCGATTTCATGGAGGCAAAGCCTCAGCTGAGATTCCCTCCTCCAAAGTATATTGGGTTTTACTAAGCTGACAAAAGCTAGCATAGGGGTGATTTTAAAAAATGAGCCAAAAAGGAAAAAATTAAAGCTAGAAAGGAAAGAAAAAGAGATCAATTAAACATTTTTGAAGATAAAACCAGCAACCCCTGCCCACATTTTGTGTAAACCACTACCTCTATTAATAGAGAATGCAGTAACTCCACACAACCATCTGCTCCTTTCTTAAAATACTAGGGGCTGGGCCCAGTGTTCAGCAAACTTGGCTCATCTTTTCTCCAAGACACACTGAGCAGGGGGAGCAGAGGGGAGCTAAGGGGTGGCATTCAGGGAAACAAAGGAAAGCGTGAACAGCTTCCATGGCCTGATCTGTTAATCTGCCTGCCGCCATACAGCCTTGGATTCCAGCCTCACAACAGCTGTCACGATAAAAAATCAGCTCTGACACTTAGATACAGCTGTTTAGAGAAAGAGGAGACACGAGGTTTGAAAACCCTTTCCTCGCGCTGCCAACTTCAAGCACACACAGCTCTGTCTCCTTTGATTTTAGATTATTCTGCAGTTTCACTTCTCCCTTGTCGGTGACTTGTTTCACTAGAGAAAGTGCACTTTCTTTTCATCCTAATTTAGGTGCCAGATGGGAGGATGCGAAGTAGACGGCGGATATAGGAAGGTCATGCTCTCTGAACTTGAAGATGCTTGTTATTAAAAGTCTGTATTCATAGACATTTGATGGCTTTGAAGAGTTGGTTTGAGCTAGCAGTCACCTTCCTGCCCCCAAACCAGACAGGGTTTCCTCTGTGTAACAGCCCTGGCTGTCCTGGAACTCACTAAGTGGTCCAGGTTGGCCTCAAACTGGGAGAGATCTGTGTCTGCCTCTACATCTCAAGTGCTGGGATTAAAGGTGTGCACCCTCATGCCCAGCTAACTAGCAGTCATTTAAAAAAAAAAAAAAAGATCAAATGTTGGGGTTGGAGGGATGTCCCTGGGATTAAGAGTTGCTCTTGTAGAGGACCCAGATTCAATTCCCAGCACCCAAATAGTGGCTCACAATTCCAGTTTCCAGGGGATCCGATGCCCTTGTTGACCTTCATGGGTACAAGCCAAAACACTGTATACAGACATACATGCAGGCAAAATGCCCATACCCATAAAATAAAATGTTTTTTAAACGATTAAATGTTGCATTGTAAAACTAACGTTGATAAGGATGAAACCCAAGTTGAAGGCCTAGCATGTCATTCTGGGAAAATGCACTCTGAGACAGTAAGTGCAGTAGTGCCCTTTTTACTTTAAACTCTCTTCTGTAGAGTTCTCACAAGATGACTCCCAGTGGTACTGGCCCAGAGACATTACTTTTCTTCAGTGACCTGATATCAGGCAAAGCTGCATGCCATCTTGTGTAAGTGTTGGGTTCCTAATCTGAAAAAAAAATGGGAAAAATAGCAGTGTCTTCTTTTGGTGTGTGTTATAAAAATTAAATCAGAGGCCAGGCAGTGATGGTGCATGCCTTTAATCCCTGCACTCAGAGGCAGACGGATCTCTGTGGGTTCAAGACCAGCCTGGTCTACTGAGCGAGTTCCAGGACAGGCTCCAAAGCAATACAGAGAATCCCTGTCTCGAAAAACCAAAAAGAAAAAAAAAAAGAAAAAAATTAAATCAGAAGAACAGAGGGGCGGTTCGGCTGTTAAGAGGACTTGCCCTTGCAGAGTACTGGGTTTGGCTCCCTGGACCCACACAGGAGCTTACAGCCATCTGGAACTCTAGTTCTAGGTGATCTGATGCTGTCTTCTGACCTCATCAGGCACCCAAAATACACATGACGCACAAACAAACAGGCAGGCAAAACACTCACACATGTACAACAAATAAGTGTAAAACAGTTAAAATTAAATCAGCAGCTGGAGAGATAGCTTAGTCAGTAGGGTCCGAGGAGCAAGCATGAGGACTCGAATTAATTCCCCAGCACACGCACAAAAACCTGGGCTTGCTGGCACACGTTTATAATGCCATCACTGGGGAAGCTCTCCTACCAGGGAGCCTAGCTTAAAAACGGCATGTTCTAGTACCAGTGAGAGACCTTGCCTTAAAATAATCCAGGGGGATGAATGGCTCCCGGAGAACACCATCTGAGAGTGATTTCTGGCCTACACATATATGGGTACACATGTATATCCCACTAGTAGCAAGGAGAGGAGAGGGAGCAGGTGTGTAAAGGAGTTGATAAATTAGCACATTACAAAGTAACTGTTCAGGGATTGACAGGCTGATGCAGACGCTGACCTGCTTTTTCCTTGACCACCCACAGAAAACTAACAAGCTAATTACTTATTGGGAAGGTGCTCAACAATGAGGGGTCACCATATTTCACCTGTTTCCTAGTTGCTAAAGCACCAGAGAGCAGCACTTCAGTTTGGTGTTAGCTGTACTAGTTACCACTGATGGCTGTACTAGGTACAATGACATTTTTGCACGACGTGAGTGTAGGCAGTTTCTCTGTGTTTCGGCAACTGCTCCCAAATAACCATTCAGAAACTTATTATTAATTATAATACTCAGCCAATAGCTCAGGCTTGATACTAGCTAACTCTAATAACTTAAATGAACCCATTTCTATTAATCTATGTGCTTCCCTAAGGCTCATGGCGCTTTTACCTCTCTGGCACCTTCTGCTTCCCTCCAGTCTAGCTGGTGACTCCTCAAGACTCCCTTAACTCCGCCCCTTTTCCCCAGCATTGGCCAGTCAGCTCTTTATTAACCAACGAGAGTAATACTTATGTACAGTGTACAAAAAGTTTATTTCAAATCAATTTTATTTTGTGCTCAGTAG